TATGGAAAAAAAAAAAAAAAAAAAAAATGGAAAACGTGACACCGTGCATGCGCAGTTGATCCACTCTGCGGTATATGCATGAATTAAACAAAAATTTCACCCTTTCGTCTCGTTCGTATGCGATACGATGAATTTTGTTACCGAATCGGGAAAGTTTTTTCAACACGATTAAAAAAAAAAAAAAAAGAAAAAAGCGCAACACGTGAATTAGGAAAAAAAAAAATACTACTATACAAGTATCCCGTGCTTTTATTCACTTAAAAAAAAAGTGAGAAAATTTAGAAGCAAGAAAATATTTTTTTATACAAAGGGACATATTCTTGTTTGAAATAAATGTTTTCTAGAAGTAAGAATTTTTACTTCTCAGTGTTCGCAACAACACAAAATTAAAATTAAAAAAAAAAGACTCATTTCGCGCAAAATGCCCTTGACGTCATCTCACGCGCGTCTTTTCCCTCCCTTGGGGCTAAAAAAATTAATGTACAACCCATACACGTGCCCAAGTGATGAGCGCGAGTTTCCCCACCCCGCGCTGGCACTGCCGATCTATTTTCGTCCCTCCACCTCCTCGTCCACCTGCGCCTTTTATCTTAAACAAGAAAATTTTTAAGTACCCACCAATGGCGCTCCTTTCCTGCGCTCTTTGCACGCTCTCGTTCGTCCCCTTTTTTCCCCAACCGAGACGTCTACCCTAAAAGAGGTCAATCTTTTCTTCTTTTATCTCCTCGTCGAAGAAAAAAAAAAAAAAAAAAAGAAAAGAAACCCAAATCTAGAGCTTATACGCTGTGCGCATATACACGTGAGAATAGATGGACGGGGGATGGGTTAAAAAAAGTGGGCCGTGCGGCTACTGCGCCTGCACTTTTTCTTCTTCCCCTTCTTTAGCTCTTTTCTTNAAAGCGATTGGCTGCAGGATATGAGATTTTATTTTTTTGCTCACTTCGGTGGCCCCCGTCTACGGTGGTGTGTTGACTTATTTTTCGAGTCGCGCCTCTTGTTTCGCTCCCGAAGCTATTAATTTTCGTCGGCGTCATCGTCGGGAGCACGAAAAAAACAAAAAAAAAAAAAAAAAAAAAAAAAAAAAAAAAGGCAAACCTGCCGAGCCGCAGTGGAGAGAGAGAAAAAGAAAAGAAACCCAAATCTAGAGCTTATACGCTGTGCGCATATACACATGCATATAAATACCATATATGCAGGACGGGGAGGGCGAGGGTGCAGGAAAAGAGTCATTGAGAGCAGTCGACTGCTGGCTGCGAGCCAGTGGCTCCCGATCTCAGCCGGAGCTTTTGCGTTTGTTTGATTTTCCGACTCAGCTCTCGCTCTTTTTTTTTTTTCTCTTACTTTCCTTTTTCGACGCGCCTTTTACAGCTCTTCATCAGCTTCAACGTTACTGAACGTATAAATATACCATTTGAGCCGAAGATATTATCGGTTCGCGAATTAATTTAGACTACGATTGGACGCTAATTGGATTTCGCCTGCCGTTGAAACGCCACGATGTAATTCGATAACGATGAAACGAGAGTACCCACTGGGTTTTTTTTTTTCTCTCTTCACGGTACAATGGCATTTTCATTACTTCGGTAACGCGTATCATTCGCGAACACTTTTGGCAGCGGCTCGTCGGCTCCACTTGCAATGATTTATCGGCTGGCATGTGCGAGTGCAAGGAAAAGGTACACGCGTGTAGATGGCGAAAGATGAATTTAAAAAATAATCCGCCAACCGATGAATCAATCCAAAGAGAGAGAGAGAGAGCAAAGCACACAAGATGACAAAGAAGTGGGTGTGTGTAGCGCGATATGGTACACACACAAATACAACGGAGCGAGGCCGAAACGAAAGTGCCGATTCGAGCGTTCGAGCTTATTAAAATAAAGCTCGGGTCTTTCGCTTGTGTGCAAAACAGCGGTTCTCCCCCCCGACGCTATCTGTCACCGCGACGCTTTTTATGTTTTCTTCCGAGCGCAAATCGCATTTTTTTTCGATGAATATAACAATGATCGTATAAACAAAACAAAAAAAAAAAGCAATTGCAATTACTCACGTATGAATAAAAAAAAGTACACGTGACGCGTCTCACGCGGGGCTCGTGTGTGTGTATCCTTTTGTTGTTGTTGTTGTTTTTTTTTATTATCTCTAATTATATTCCTCTTCCTCTAGCGCGCGGTCGAGCGCGAGTTCCTTGCCCTTCTCTCTTCCTCGTCGCTTTCTTCTTCTCCTTCTACACTATACGCGCCACTACGACTTACCGCCGTTACGCTCGTACACAGGCACAAACGACCGGAGACACTCACCGGTTTTTTTTCTTTTTTGTTTTTACTTTCCAACCGGGCTACACTGAAAAATAAAGCTCGACAGCCCCTTTTCGTCTTTCATCGACAAAACTGTTGTTATTATTATTGTCACCAATATTTTATTTTTCAATCTTGCCTACCGGCAGCTCCGGTCCTTTTTTTTTTTCTTCATTCATGTAATTATCTACACGATCGGATGGTCCCCCTAATCGCTGTTACTTACTCCACAACAGTCACAAGTTCATTTGTACGGGAAATAAGCCACTGTGTAATTTTTTTTTTTTTTTTTTTTTTTCCTTAGAAAGGCACTTTACGCACAGTTGCACATTTAACGAGCACAATTGACAACAGCAATAGTAAATAAGCACACAATCAACACATCGTTGCAGGGAGCCCCTTTTTTTTGGTATGTATATACATACATATATTTATATGTTTCGATGCACAAACACAATCGTGCACAGCCGAGTGGATTTCTATCGCGGAGGGCGCGTAAGTAAGTACAGTGACCGGAAAAACCAAAATTTGTCAACTCGCCACGGGGTGTTTTTCGAAAAAAAGGGGGCTCAGCCCTTCCCCCCCCCCCAGCCGGGTGACCGATACTTTGTAACCGTTAACCGCGAATCGGCGAGCTTTAGCCACCAATTTGGAGCAAATGAACGAACAACGGAGGAAGAAAAACGCGACAAACGAAAATAAAGGGTATAATATATATAACTGCGATGCTCGGTATTGCGCCGCGAGAGAGCGTCGACGCGAAGCCTCGAACAGTTGGACGTCGAGTGCAGCAACAGTTGCCCTCCGGCTTCCTCCTCCTCCTCCTCGCAGCTGCCCTGATATGTGAGCGCGGTCGCGCACGCGTGTGTGTGGATTTAAAGATATATACAACACTATCGTATTTTGTATATACATATGGTTACTGGCACGAAGGCGCCACTGCGTGAGTGCGGTACGAACTTCTCCGTTAGGCATTACAAGTACTTAATTTATCGGCAACTTATTCGCCCCATTTTTTTCTAACCCTATTCAAAACTTTGAGCTTTAAAGCTCGACTTGCAAGTTTTTCAAATCTTTTTTTTCTTCATAATATGATGGAGCGATGCTCTTTATTATCGATAAACGAGTTTTCGGGGGAGCATCATCATGCGTAATTCTAACAAGAAGCGGATCTGTATAGTGATGCGAAATGGGCACGTGCGAAATGGTCCAACCGGCGATGTGAAAGACCGGCTGGGGCTCTCTTATACATGTATAATATATGCTCTATCGATGAATTTTACACGGCTGGTGAGCATATATTATATACATAGGCAGATATAGACTCTTATTCATGCTTTATTTAACGCTAACTGTAAATCATCTACGCTATGTGAGTCTGAGGTGTGCATACATTATGGATGCAGGTATGTATAAAGGGAGTTTTGGCAAAAGTTATGGTGGGTTGGCAATTTCTTTCGGCAGTGAATTACATTTTTGTGCTTTTGATATTAACTTTGGTTGAGAATCTTTGGTGTATGAAGTTTTTTTTTTTTTCATCGCTGTGAACGTACGTTTTTTTTTTTTAATCCAATCAAAGTTATTTAAATTAACTTTAATTTCTGGCATAATGTAAAATACATCGCCTGGGGATTGAAAGTAAAAGTTTTCGGCTTATTGCTCCATATGGGTATGTGAGGAATCTCTTGACGTACTCGACAATTACACATTACATTTTAATGATACACATTTGAACTTCTAGATGAAATATTCCTACATAGGTAATCGTTTTTTAATCGCCCGTTGATAAAAAGTTTAAAATTGATAAGTTAATTGCTCCAAGATTGCACCAATTGCTGGTAGTTTTCGTAGACCTGGTGGCACATGTCGTGCGCATATATCTATATATATCCAGGACTCCTTGTGCTTGCCCTCTGGTTGGGAGAGCGCACCCTATTTTTCCTACCGAGGGCACACCCGAACCCTTAAAAAACGCCCGAGGTAGGAAAAGAAGATTTACTTCAGTTAATTTGTTCAAATAAAATTAATTCCAAGGAAAACAACTTTTATCATTCGAGTAATAGTTTTTGACGATTCATATCATGGAATAAACACTTATCTATGTGTAACGTCCACAAAAATATTAACGCGTCAAATTTTTTTTTTTTTTTTATTCTATTGAACCATCGTCAACCATGAGACAAACGTAAAGCTATATATACGATAATAGCGTAGGCATCGCCAAAAATAGTTAGCTTACGAAAATTCACGGCGGCGGCAAACTAGTACAGACTAAAGAGAGGGAGAGAGGGAGTATTATAATACCCTATACCTATATGTATACATCACAAAAGTGGAGAAGACGCTCGATAAAGCAAACCCGCGTTCGGAAATTCATTTCCTCTTATAGGGTGTTGCAACTATACTTGTACCTTTGCTGTACACATGTATAAGGTGTATAATATATTACTGCAAAAAAAAAAAAAGAAGCCTTGACAAACTTGGCCTGATACTTATAATTATGCTTCTCTTCCTTCCTCGTGCGTCCATATCTGCATCGTTCATGTCAGTCGTCCATGTGTGACGCGACGCTAGCGATGCTCTGGTGGTGGGGTGTGTGTAACTGTGTGCGTGTAGGAACAGTAGGAGGTAGGAGAGAAACGACGAACAGAAGAACTTGTTATCGTGGTCAAGTGTTAGTTGTGAATTGTATACTGAGGTAGAAGCTGTGGGCAGTGGGCACACGCGTTTAGTGCAGTTTTATATTTGGTGAAAGATTGTTTTTTTGTTTTTTTTTCTTTACAAAAGAATCACAACAAAATCTCGTGGAGGTCGAGTGTCAAACATTGGTTCGAAGAAGAGTAAACTGTGTCAAATGTCACTCAGTGGTTTCGTCGAGTTTTTTCAAAAGGGAAAGGTTTGTTTTCCGTCTCCATATCTCACCCTATATAATACTCGAGGGTGGTAAGGGTCATAACCTGGGGTGGCAGCGTTTATTGGTTTTGGGTGGTTTTTAATCTTCGTTTACGCACCAGTTTTCACTTTTTATTTGATTTATTTTTCACTTTCACTTGAGGACAGTGGTTTTTTGCAATTGCCGAAAATTGCCCAGATTGAATGATAATATCGCTGTTTTGCATTTTTGTCAGACCTTTCGCCCAAAGAAGAAGCTGGCCCAAGGTACCATGAGGTACTCGCTTTACAAACAAGCCCAGGCGTCTCTCAATTCTGGAATAAATTTGCGCAACGTCGTGAAATTGCCACCGGGAGAAGATCTGAACGACTGGATCGCGGTACACGGTGAGTTTTTCACTTTTCAAGCCCACCTACACAATCAGTTAGTTTCCTCGTATTGAAATTTAACTAGACAGTTAATGAGTTTACCGATAAAACGTGGCAATAAAGCGTATCTGTTTTGTTCCGAGTGAAAGATTTACGAGAGACCAAAAAAGTTTCTACAGGGAATAAGTACAGTCTACCGTAATTATTTGCCGCGTGGTGTTTTTCCCCTTCGCGAGTTGATGGCATTAATTTTAGAATCCAGGTCCCCCAGCCCTTGCAACATTTTTAACATTGTTATGCAACTGACCATCCATCGCGTTGAATTCTTTTATAAACATTTTACTTGTTGAATAAAAACTTGAGATTTTTCAGCGCGCACACACTTATCAACTCTAACGTGACGATAATGAGTTCAAACATAGATAAATGAAACAGTGCAGTGGCGTGATTTTTTTTCCTCTTTGTTTAACTTTACGCCTTATTTAGTTAACGACACAGCGCATTGTGTTTATACACTCACTTGTATTGCTTGCAGTTGTGGATTTCTTCAATAGAATTAATCTCATTTATGGTACAATATGTGAGTTTTGTGACTCAACTTCCTGTCCAACAATGAGCGGTGGTTCCCGCTTTGAATACTTATGGGCAGACGGTGACAAGTATAAGAAACCAACGGCACTGTCCGCACCGCAGTACGTGTCTTTATTAATGGATTGGGTCGAGACTCAAATTAACAACGAGGCTCTCTTCCCCGTGTCAACAGGTAAATACTTATCCCTACAGTACTATTATTACTAGTTGAAATTGTTTATTTCTATTATTTTTTTTTTTTAACTAAATTTTATTATTTGCAGATGTTCCGTTTCCCAAGACTTTTATACCGCTATGTCGAAAAATACTGACACGATTGTTCAGAGTGTTTGTTCATGTCTATATTCATCATTTCGACAGAATAATACTCATTGGAGCCGAACCTCACGTCAACACGTGTTATAAACACTTTTACTATTTCATCACGGAATTTAATTTAATAAGTCATAAGGAATTGGAGCCACTAGCCGAAATGACCCAAAAAGTGTGTAAAGACGCGGTACCATCGAAATCGAGAAGATAGTCGTTTCGCTTGCATTTCTCTGATGCGTCTCGTTGATAGATAGGATAGATAATTGATATCGAATCTCTCTTACAAATGTACATAGATGCGAGCATTTACAAATTTATTGACTGCCGTAGGATTTGTTGTTTTGTTACCTGTATAAGGTTTGGCAATTTTTTTCAACGTTATTTACAAGTATTTTTTTTAGATCTATTTGTAAATTTTTGATATTAGATACTACTAGATATTAGGTATTACTATCTAGTCAGTATTATCTTACAGTTAGTTCTATTGGGCATTGTATGAGACAAATAATTTTAAGAATGAGAATGTAATAAAATTTTTTGCAATTAATAACAAAAAATGACTTTATTGAACATCAGTTAAGAGCAACGTTGTTTTTTATTTTCATTAACTTGAGATTATTTACAAGATTAACAGTGGAAAAAAATTATGATTTTCATTATTGATTTATATCGACGTCGTAGTACATTGTTGCACGTTCGATAATTTTTATACTCGACTATTTTTTTTTAAATCACGCGATACGATAAAACTAGGGCGTAGTTGCAGAATCGATTGTTAAATTAACGCTTTATAAATTAAATTACTACTTAAATAATTCAATTTTCACTGTCTTAATCGAATACGTCTATAACAAATGGTAATGGTTGAGCAATTTTCACAAAGATGCATTTAATATCTCAGCCAGTACATTTGACTTCTGATAACGTTGTAATCGGTCAAGTTCTCAATTGGACCAACTCCTGCAACAACCGGGCAATGATCGTAAATGTATTTCATACCTGCCTCTTGAACAGTTTTAGCCGTAACGCTCTGAAAATAAAGATTTTTATAAACATAATGCAAACACGTAAATTAGGGTGGACATAGACATTTGATGAAACTTACGTCTATTCTGGCCTCGAGCTCGTGAAGGGGAATTCGTCGGTTGTAACAGAGCATCTGTCTGCCAACATCCTCGCAGATGGCGGTGGTACCGTCAAGTTGAAGTAACATATTCGTCTTCAGGATGTTCTTTGCTCTCCTGACTTCCTTCTCAGTGAGTGACGTGCAAATTCTCATCCATTCCTGTTGGATGTTCCAGACCATATCCTCGCACTGTAGTGGCTCGCAAACAAAGTACACGCCCCACAATCCGGTATCCTAACAAGAAATGAAAAACAATAATTTAAAGCAGGAAATTTTTTTACTTCTCAACCAATAAAAAGAAATTATTCATTGTTACCTTGTAACACGTGTTGAAGCTTTGGAAGCTGTGACAGAGCTCACCAGATGCGGCGATTCTGGCGAGATTCGTGGCGTTGTTGGAACCACCACCCTGACTCCGATCCCAAGCTCCCATCAGGGTATTGGCTACCATGAGGGGAATGTTGTCGGCTTCGCACCAGCCGGCACCTGTTGATTAATGTATTAAATAAGCTTCATACACTCAGCATCTACTACTCTGCTAGGCCACGTTTGTTCCATTACCTTCGATGGCTAGGGCAATGTGGGCGAGGGGCATCGAGTCGTCGCGAACACGTATTTCCGAACCTGTGTAGCGGCAAGGCAAGTTGACTGGTGGGATCTCATCATAAACGGGTCCAGTCATTTTGCCAAAGTGTTGCTCGGCCAGCTGAGTGAGTTGCTCGTGGCAGACACCACCGGCTCCAGCAAGGACAAATCTGGGAGGGCCGTAATTGGTCTTCAGGTAGTGGAGAAGATCCTTTTTGGAGATGGTTTTGATGTTCTCAGTAGGTCCAAGAATTGTTCTGCCAAGAGATGTTCCCTGATAGGCTGTGGCGTGCAAATGGTCAAACACCACCTCCTGCAAATTGGTTTCGACTTCTTGCATCTCTCTGAGGATGACACCTCTCTCCCTCTCGATTTCACTCTCTCCAAGCTTGGAATTCTGAATGATGTCACTAAGGATTTCCACAGCTTTGGGCACATCCTGTGTCAAGCATTTGGCATAGAAGACCGTCTGCTCCCGACTTGTGTAGGCATTCAAGTGAGCACCCATGTTTTCAATCTCCAGCTCGAGATCGGTTTGGGACCTCTTGGCTGTGCCCTGGATTAACAATAATTAAGTCTCTAGTACAAAGAAATTCATTGCTTTGCGAGAAAACACTCTTTGTTATCCCACAGAGATCAAAGTAAACAAACAGCTACATACCTTGAAAGCCATGTGCTCCATAAAATGAGCCACTCCGTTATTCTCATCCGTTTCATATCGACTTCCAGCATCAATCCACAAACCAACGGTTGCTGTTGCAGCACCGCTGTCTTCGCTAGCCACTCTCATGCCATTGTCGAGGACTGACACTCTGGTTGGCGGCTGGTTGATCAGTGCCTCTTTGAGACTCGGCGAACCTAAGGTCGATCGCCATTGCTTGGATACCTGCAGAATCGAATGACAAAAGTTAGTCCCAAGAAACTCTGCAGAGGAGAGGGCTGTAGGTTAGGGTAGACGGGGCTGCCAAGGTAGCTTCCAAGGTCGTCGCTGACGCACGACAAGACCCAGGACAAAGTGCCCAACGCACATCAATGTAAATAAAATGCCAAAAACCGGTAAATCGTGCAAAATCTGAGCTACTGTGCGACATTACGTAAGGAAGGCTGCCGTCAAATAGACCCTGTTGACGGACCACCCTTAGCCCCAGATTAGCCCCCGTCTATGTCCTTTAGATAACCCAGAACACAAGGTGCACCGAATCAATTGACTCACCATACAGTATCCATTCCTGTCGGCGATTTTCCGCAGGGCGGAGTTGATTCTCAGCAGACGGATCGCCATTTTCGCCCGAGAAAAGAGTGTCACTCACACAACGCGCGCCGACACACAACAACGTGCATATATGTTATGTGTGATAAATTGATAAAGTGACCGTCGCCGAACGAATTGAGACTTGAGACCGTCAGTGCTCAACTGGTCAGTGCCCAGTCAGCGAGTCAGCTGTTGATTGCTCATTGCTGTTCTGCACCCCCTCTCCCCCAGCCCCCAAGAAAGTATTGAAAAAAAAAAAAAAAAAAAATACAGTTAGAAAGAACAAAAAATGCACCCTCTGATTACACAGTTTGTTTAAATTGAACCCTCATAAATTTTGTAGAAAAAAGTTATTAACAGTTGCCAAGTTGTCTTGTTTTAAACCTCCGATATCTTTGGAAAACTGCAAAACGACTGCACTCAGTATATGTATACATACATACATATATATACATATATATGTATATATATATATTTGCGTGTTGCTTTCGCTCTGACGAATTTTTTTCATGTGAGTTTCACAGGGTCTTGTGCCAAAGCAGAAATTTTGTAGAAGTTTTATTCAATTGTGGGTTACAATCGTTGATTTGTTAAACTTTCTGTAAATGCTGCAGACTTGCGTCATCCATTGAAAGTATAGGTAAGTATATCCACACTAATTAACTATGTGGTGCAATAGTTGATTAAAAGTCCGGATATCTCCAAATTCTGCAATTGTTTATTAGCATATTCCGTTGGGTACGGACAAGTAGCCAACATGTCATCATCAGAAACTTTCAAAACACCTGTACCAGCTAACCTACTACCCGAATGCTGGAATCAAGACGAAAGAATGAAATCCTTGTATGCTCCATTCCGAAATCGAGCTGTCAATCCCGAGGATTGGAACTCCAAGTACAAGTTCTGGAACCAGTTTATCAAAACGTGGTCAAACTACTATGCCTGTTGTAGTTTCACTTTGACAGATTTGAATACTAATTTCAAGAGAAATGGGTGCAGTGCACTCTGTTTGTCCACAGTTTTGCAGGAGCTGTACAGGTGAGCTGATTCATTATTTTATATGCTTTGTAAAATCCACTCATGAATCACAAGGTAAACTTTGTAATCGTCATTTAGAAACGGGGAAGTGATCTTGGAGTCGGATTTTTTGAAAGAGCCGAGCAATTCATGGGCTGGCTGGACTGTTGACATGCTTGTGAGGAAACCAATATCATGGTCTTTCTCTAAATTAGTAAACTACATGACCGAACCCGTCATTGATCCAGGGACCAAGTACGTTCACCTTGCAACTGTTAAGGAACTGGCAGAAGTAGTGCTGTCGACAATTGACAACAAAAAGGAAAATACACTCCAGCCGCTGTCAGAGCTGCTGAAAAATTGTCGAGAAAAAAGTGGTAATAACAAAATCACAGAGAACAACCTCAAGCTGGCTCTCATTTGGCTGAGAAACACAAAAAGAGCTACGTTTCGAGATTGCCAGGATGATGACAAAAATGAAATGCTTGTCAAGATTGCCCATAAAAATGTAGAACAAATAACAGATATCGACGAAGGTATACACAAACTACATCAACAGGAACTTATGCTCATAAAAAATGTCGAACAATTGGAAAGGGAAAGAAATGAGGTTATTGAAAAGGCAAAATCATCATTGGCTGGTGGACTGAAACAGGTGGCTAAAAGTTTCTTGCGGAAGAAGCACGAGCTTGACAAGTGTCTTGAGAAAAGAAGCAATGCTTTGCACAACGTTCAGAGGCTTCTCGTGAGAATCAATGATGCCAGGTATGATACTGACACTCTGGCTGCTTACAAGGCTGGATGCAACGCTCTGAAGAAGTTTGAAGATACCGGCTTGACTGAAGATAATGTTGTTGACACCATGGATAATATGGCAGAGGTAATGAATTGTTCAATTTTGTTTTTTCTCATCTTTGTTACAGAAATTGAATTATAATTCATTTTACCTTTTAGGTTCTCGACGAATTGAAAGAAGTGCAGAGTGTCATGGCTCAACCCATCAGTACTACTTCAGAATCCGATTCAGAGTTGGAAAAAGAATTAGCCGACATATTGGCTTTAGACGACAACAACGACTTCGAAAAGAGTTTTGATAAAACGTTCGACTCTGCACAATTACCAAATTTGTCGGCTTTAGGTTTACAAGGTAAACCATATATAATTAATACAATGATGACACATGCTTTTTTGACGAGCAAAGTTTAAAAAAAATCTTTGTATTATTTTACAGATGTATCTTTGCCGAAAAATACATTCACAAAAGAACTGCATCCGTCACAAACGTAATTCATTGGGGATTGAGGAAAAACATCGTCAAGGTAAATAAAACATAAAACGTCAGACATTCAACTTTCAAGTCATTTTATTGATTGAAAATCGAAAGCAAAACATTGTCAGTCTTCATGTTTTCTCCGTAAACTAAAAAGTAATCTCATTCCATCGAAAAAATTAACTTTATTCGGAACGATCATTAGCTTTGGATTGCCTCAGACTTTTAATAAAATCAAACATCAAAGATTGTCCATCTCGAAATTTTTCAGCGAATCTTAACGATACGAAAAAAGCACACCCAAGAATCCACCATCAAATGATCTCGTTGGCAGGCCTCATCACGTTGCGACACAAGCACACTGTGTTCACAAGCAGCTCTTCATCGGCTTCTTGGTTTCGACGCGCAGTATCATATCCTGTATCCACTCCATGTGACTCGACACTCGAGTATACAGCGAGTACGCGTAACTGTCGCAGGTTCGCACAGCTCCGATCTTCGTCGCGCCAATGCCGACGCTCACGATGCCACGCAAATACCACTTGTTGTCCGTCTTGAATACGAGGCCACCCCCGCTGTCTCCATCGCACACCGACGAGCCTGTAAATAAACGGAGGATCACGTTGTTTGTTTGTATAATGGAATATTACTCCTGTATAGCTACGATTTATTAAAATTTTAAATTTTATATGCTTAAAAAAGAAAAAAAAAAAAAAAAAACTATTTGCAATTATTTATTTTGCACACACTCACCGTTCGAGTACCCGGCGCAGAACTTGTCGATGGTTATGTACTTGACACTGTCAGACGCGAGACTGCTCGACTTGCACTTGTTCAACGGGATATACGGCACGGATATCGTCTGGAGGATGAAGCTCGAGTCGCCCATGGCAGTCCTACCGAAGCCGGCTACTTTACCAAAGTTTCCAGCTTCTAAGGCAGCTTGGTCCCCGACTACACTTACGTCGAGACAAACCGGCATTATGATTGAACTGAAAACAAAGGGCTTGTCGACCTCTAGTATGGCGATGTCGCTCGCGTAGTTGCCCTCGAGGCCCAGATAATTGCACACGGCGTATATGTTTTTCACCTAACGAGAAAGCATGTGGCGTTACGAAGGAAAAATCCAGAATTTGGGGATGTGATGATATACGTAAGAGCTGATTACCGCGGCCTTCTTAACCGTGACTGGATCGTGCAGCTCAAAGTCGTAGTCCCTGAACACGTTGCCCGCCGCAACGAAATACTTGGACGGCGAGTCAACGGTTTTTCTCACCTCGTCGAAGATGCAATGGGCCGCGGTGACGAGCAGATTCTCGCGAATGATCGTCGCACCGCAGATGAACTGTTTCTCGGTGTTTTTGGCCTTGTAGAGGGTGGCGTGCCAAGGGAACTCGGCGACGTCAGCGGTCGTGCCGTTAACGATCAACGGTTTGCCGCTCACTTTCGACGGTACCCCGCAGACTGTTGAAAACCATCGAAACAAAGAAAAATCAAACTACTTATTTTTCACGCAATTTTTCACCCACACGCGTATACGTACCCGAGACGCACTTCATGGGCTTGGGCTCCCATTCTCCCGCAGAGTTGCACTTGACGTTGTCTCGCCTCGTGAGATCCGTAGTCTCGGGCAGATAGCTGTTTCGGCAGTTGAGCTCCGCTATCGTCCTAATGGGCGCGGGATTTTCGCAGGACACCCACTCGTTTTCGAACTTACACCTGGCTTCCAACGCCGCGGAACTGAGGGCCGGGCACTTGATCATCTCGCACTTGGGAATGGTCGACCACCTGCCCTGCAGTCCACAAAAGACATCCTTCGTCCCGTTGAGCTTGTACCCGGCTTTGCACCGGAACACCAACTGAGTACCGGGATCGAGTTGTTTGACTCCCTCTCGAAGAGAGCACTCGGTGCCCTTGGGACAGAGACTGCCCTCCAGCTTCCATTCACCATGCTCGGGCTGGTCGGGTATGTTGCAAAGTTCCTTTGGCGGCGACGTTGGTCTCGGTGTCACCACATCAATGGGCCGCTCGGTTTTGCCCTTCTGGTCTTCATCTTTCCCATTGCTGTTGCCGTTGTTTCCCTGCTTCGATCGGCCGCACAGCTCGGCGTCCTCGTCCGAACCATCCGCGCAATTGATGACGTTGTTGCACTTGAGATTGCCGTCTATGCAGGCACCGTATCGACACTTGAACGTATAACCCGGGCAGCTGTAACAACAATGAGTACTTATTTGGTTCATTTATGATCGTTCGCGTGTGCCGTTTTTAAACGATGCACTTTTTTACGCGTGTAAAAAAAAAAAAAAAACGATCTTTTGAATTTTGACTGTTGTTTCATACGTGTATTGTGCACACGGTAAATGCACATAAGCCCCGAAAGTCTGTACTTGAAAACGAAAATAAAAACCCTCTGTGTAGTTGATCGGTATAAGAATGGAAATCGAGGGAAAAAACCCGAGAAGCTGAGTAAAAGATTTCTCACACGAAATCGCTGCAGGCCTCGACGGTCTCGTCGGACCTGTCCCTGCAGTTGACGGTGCCGTCGCATAGCTCGGTCCTGGCGATGCATTGGCCACTCTTGCACCTGAACTGGTTGCTCTTGCAGCCGCCGTCGATGGCGCCCGAGCTCGGAGCGATCTTTTGACAGTCGAGCTCGTCGCTGCCGTCGGCGCACTCGTTCCGACCGTTGCACCGCGTGTTACCATCCACGCACGCACCGTAACTGCAACGGAAGTTGCGAGAACTGCAGGGCGGCGAGTTTTGGCACTCCTGGGTGGTTTCGTCCGAGCCGTCGTTGCAGTCGGTCACCCCGTCGCACACGCGGTCGTTTGCTATGCACTGGCCACTCGTGCAGCGAAACTGCCGGGCGCTTTTTTTTTTTTTTTTTTTGAACCATGGAATCATTGTTACAGTTTGCACGTTGTTATATAGGTACCTTTTTTTTTTTAGATAATTCGTGGTACGGGCTCTTACCTGCATTTGGCTTGTAAATTTTGGCCCCGAGATTGTTGGCTCCTGACGCCCACTGCGGGGAAACAACGTTATACATTTATATAGATCGTGTAAGACCAGCAGATTTTTGCGCGAGCATAAGACAATTTTCATCATCATTAATTGTATTGCATTCTTCGCGAGATTTGAGAAATTACGCATTAATAGTCCAAGGCGACACGCGCATTCAGAGTCTAAATCGCGGCTTATCGGGGTGACCCTCGATCGACCCCGCTATCGATTTTTTTAAAACTTTTCAATACATCGAAAATCTTTGTAACGGAAAAATAATTAAAAAAACAAAAAAAAAGTATTTAAAAAATGAAATCGACCATACGCTTTGTGACTTTGAGGTATGTACCAGAACTCATCCATGTTTGCTTAAACTTCACGGTGAAACAATCTCACGTACATCCGAATAATGTACAAGCACACTTGTGATGAACGCAAAATTCAATCGTTATCGAATTACTTACGCAAAATTAAACTGATTTGTGCAAATTATTGATTCACATAACAGTTGTGCTAACATATACTCTAAAAGAATATCATACACCCGAGGATAATGTATACGCGTGCGACGATTACTTTATCGCGTCTTTGGATCGATGAAAGAATCTTTTTTTTTTTTTTTATGTAACAAATGTATCATAGCGTACACGGTATATTTCCACATTGCAAAAACCGAAAATTCTCGTTTACAGGCAGATACCGTTGTTTACCACGTGGAATGTGCCTCCAACGGGGGATTTCCTCGACGATGTGTGTAATCTGCGACCACTATAATCGCACATACGCAATATAACCGAGCGAATGTGTCTCGCGAGAGATCTTACACTTACTTAGTCATTAGACCGTGTGATCAATATGTCACTGAATATTTTTGACGCCCCTCTCGCGATTTTCCATCATTGTCCTTCGATCTGACTGACATTGAAATGAAACAGTGTTTTTTTTTCCCCCTCAAGTTTCCTCGTTTACGTAAACAACGTTTGATGCAAGTACAGATCGATAGTCGTGCGAAATCGATGATGCGTTACCGCGTGTTAACGACGCATATCGGTACCCAATAATCATACCGATGGTATACGCGTATAATCGGTATTAAGAGCTTCGGGGAAAAAACTAGGGAGATGTGTGTTAAAAGTGAAATTGGCGACTAACCGAGTAGCGTTAGAAAAATCAGGGCGAGCCAGCAGCAGTTGCGCGCCATACCGCAGTTTATTTGACTTCCTTCCTTCCTTACTTCCAAACGACACCTCTTACACGCCACTTCAGCAGCGCGTGCCACCCGAAGACTTTGATCAAGCGCGCACTTTCCCACGTCGGCCTCGGTAAACTCACTGTGCGCGCAATCGGCCGTGGCTCTGCATATCCGCGAGAGGAAAGAGATATATCTCCGCCCGGGAAGAGTAGAGGAGAGCTCTGGCGGCGCGTTTTTTTTTTTTTCGCACTACCGATCAGCGCCGATAACGAGCGAAAGTTTTTTTTGGGTTGATATTATATACGTATGTTTGGATTTTTTGTATCGCTATTCGTACAGAAATTTGTTGTCTTTGAAAGTATAAGAGAAAGGAGCACTCGAGGAAAGAATAAAATTTATCTATGTTTTTTAGAGAAACGTTTTTTTGGGGCGAAATTTGACCGATCGTGTGGAGGAAACATTTTTGCGTTTACTTAATTTTTGTTGGATAAACAGTGAACTTCCCTTATTGTTTCCTCGTTTGATTTGTAAGCGCGTGACGCAAAATTTTTGTTTCACATCAGTTCAAATGAACGAGATCTTGCTATAAATGAAATCACAATGATTTTTAATGGTAAGAGTCTATATGTTTTGGTGAAAACATTGTTATACGCCCTGATGAATGTATAATTATATATATATTTTTTTTTCTCGGTGTGTAAAAAAAAAACATCGGTAGACAAAAACAACTATAACTTATTAATCATCTAATGGGCCTTCTTCTTTTTCTTCCTTGTTCTCCGCTTTCGACTCGTCCCACAGTCCATAATCTGACGTGCTTAGTTGTGCCAACCATGAAAGCATTCTGGAAAAAAGTTTTCGCAATTTTAATGAAAACCTAGATCAACAACACTTGACTGCTGATAAAAGGTAGTTGAACAAACGGAAACTTACGACTTTTCATTGATTTCTGTATCAATAACGTCCTTTAAAATATAATTCTTCTCAAAGTCTTGGATTTCTTCTTCACAATCGGCCCAATCCAGCCTCTCGTGGAGACCGTCTTTGCCATATCTTTCATTGTAATAATCATAATGTACCTGGAGATAATCAAATATTTTGTACATACCATTTGTGTTATGATAAGAGTTGAATTTCGAGATTCAGGAATCCTGTACTTACAACATTCAACATCAGTCCTAAGCTTGGAGCTCTGGAGATGATATATTTTGGAGTATTAAAAGATTGATTGAAATCTTCTTCTGTCGCGATATTTCTCATGACTGCAATGACCATGGATACCATTTTTCTAATTTGATGCATCATAAAACTTTGGCCTTTGATTTTTAAAGTCATAAACTCCATGTCGTTAACAATAACAGGCTTTTCTGCTTCTAAATTCATAATGTAACGTCTTGCTCTTGGATCTAACGGTAATCTGTAAATCATTTAAAAAAATTTATTACTTTTAATACACAAGATTACCCAGCAATTATGTTTAACTTACATTTTTGTCGTGTAATTGTGAAAGTTTTTCGTTCCTTTGAACTTCTGCAGTAATACAGATACTTGTTCCTGTTTGTCTTTTGGTAATCTATACTCGTGAAATGGTTTTCCATCAATGAGAGACAGTGCTTCCATCCTCTCAGCTATTCTTTCCTCCATGCTTTCATGAGTTTTATTAAAAAGTTCCAAATTTTCTGGTGCAAATGCATAAGTTGGCAATGTGTAAGAATACGTACGTGCATTGCACTTTGATTTACAATTAAATCCTTTAGTTACTCTTTTTATAGAAAATACCTTGATATTTTTGGGCAAATGTTCGTTTATACTGTCTTTAGATGGATTTTCAGCTGAAATGTACAAACATAGTGAGAGTGATGATTTTTTCTTGATGGAAAATAGTACCATACTACAATTACAAAATGTACCCCAACTCACGTAATTTAAGACTAACAACTTGTCTGACAGCAGACACTCCCTTGTCCGTCCTAGCTGCTCTTTGAAAATTTATATTTTGAATAACTTCAACAGCTTCGGAAGTAATCAGATTGGCTTTATACATTGCTTTTATCAACTGTTCTTCGATAGTGTCAATTTTCGGATTCCTTTGCATTCCATAATAATCTTTACCAAGATATCCAAGCATCATTGCAAAGTTTCTCCTTTTTATCCTGACAAAAGGCACAGTTTCATTTTCTGTTTTCTGTTTTTTTGCTTCACCATTGCTTTCATTTTCTAAAGGTCTTTTTTCTGCTTGACTCGAATCTTGAGAAGCTTCGTTTGTTTCTGTCATTGTATCCAACTTAGTGACTAGTGTGCTAGTTAAATTTTTACCTATAATCAAAAAACGATAGAATACATAAATTAATAAACATGTTGGGAGTTTTTAACCATATATTTTATTATTATTAACAATCGTGTGTAATAAGTCAACTTATGAATTTTTAGTATATATTTTTTTTGAAAAAAATAGACGTAAGTAATGGCACGAAACTATCATTTAATGTGAAATAAACATTGCAATGATAAATAAGATATACACATGTTTAACACAGGTTAGAAAAATTTTTAAAGTGAAGCAAATTTTACTTACAAATTGAAAAAACGCTACTAAAAAGTTCCTGAGGTTTGCCTAAACGTAGCATTTAATTAGAAAATATTTACAGCCTAAACATTTAAATTCAACACTATGTATACACGAAAGACGGATTATTTATGTGTACACCGCATAATGTGTATATCTCACAAAAAAATATCAAATCGCAGACGACGACATAATGGGACTAACCTCACCTTCAACAAAAAAAGAACATGATTCGTGTATAATTTATTAAATTTTCATTCTTTATGAAACAAAAAACCACAATTAATCAAATTAAAGTGACAAAAAAACACGAGAAATACAACTTAAGTAAAAACGTTCTAAAAAATAAAAAAATAAAAACACTTAATACCATGCAAATTGCAATTTCAAACAATCGATCCAACGTTCATATTTCGCGGGTGTAGTCTCTCTGTACACATATAACATACATATGTATATATATGTATGTATATATATACTTAGTGTGCTCGCACTTTGCTGTTGTTGGATGCCGAAAAAGATCGGTGCTTCTTTTATGTGTCGGTTTAACAATTCCTGAAAAGATTTCTGAATCATGGCTTCTGAACGTTACAGTTTTTCGCTCACGACTTTCAGGTAATTACATTCTTTCTTCTTGTGGTGTTTTCATATTTTATTCAGTGTTTGCAAAGATGATTTAGCAAGGAATTGAAAACGGAGTCATTGTCAACATAACCTAGAGCCTAGAATGACAATCACTTTTATTAATTTGCAATTAGGCATTATTTTATATAATATTAGTCGTCGAGTTGGTATTTTGCAAATATTTGACTTGATTATTATTTGTTCGTTTGAAGTTTATTTCAATAGCTTATTCTATTTTGGTTACAAGTAGAGAGGCAAAAACTTCTGGTGCCGTTTAAATTTAAATGACGACTTGATTTAATGCCATGTAGCAGCACATTAACTTTTATAATGTTAATTTAACGGCAATGATTCTCTTAACTCTAACAACTGGAAATCAATTTCCGCTGACTAGACGTTTAAAAGTCAACATTATTCTTAAAAATCGCTGAAAGTAAACTATTTCTACTTTTTTTAGTCCTTCTGGAAAGCTTGTACAGATTGAATATGCTCTGGCAGCGGTGGCAGCAGGTGCACCTAGTGTAGGAATCAAGGCTGCAAATGGTGTTGTGCTTGCGACAGAGAACAAACACAAATCGATTCTATATGATGAGCACAGTGTGTCGAAAGTTGAAATGATCACAAGATACATTGGCATGGTTTACAGTGGAATGGGTCCTGACTACAGACTGCTAGTCAAGCAGGCACGTAAAATGGCCCAGCAATACTATCTGGTTTACAAAGAGGAAATTCCCACTGCCCAGCTTGTACATCGTGTTGCTATGTTGATGCAAGAGTATACTCAGTCTGGGTGAGGATCTGTTAAATTTTAAAAACTGCTATTCCACTCAATTGTTTATTTATTTATTTTTAACTTTGAACAACGTATTTTGATTTGATCAAAAGTGGCGTGAGACCGTTTGGAGTGTCTCTGTTGGTTTGTGGATGGGACAAGGGAAAGCCCCACCTGTTCCAGTGTGATCCATCTGGTGCCTACTTTGCCTGGAAAGCCACTGCAATGGGCAAGAATTACGTGAATGGCAAAACATTCTTGGAAAAGCGATACAGTGAAGATCTTGAACTGGATGATGCCGTCCACACTGCTATTTTGACCTTGAAGGAAGGCTTTGAGGGACAGATGACAGAAAATAATATTGAAGTCGGTATTTGTGATGCCAATGGTTTTAGAAGGCTGGACCCCTCGAACGTCAAAGACTACCTTGCCAATATTCCCTAATTTAATAACTATATTTTTGATATTTATAACGTTTTCACGGTTGTATGCATTCGATGAAACACATAATTGAAAATTTAAAAAATAAATACTGTTTCTTTTATATTCTAAGAATATCAACTATATTCAATTGTTTCTAGTGCCACGTTATTTGATTGGGTTAATAATAAGAGTTTTTTATTTGCTTCAATTTTTCTCTTGTTTATAATAATTTAAGTTAATTTTATTTATCATTTTTGTTTCTTCTTACAACTTGCAAATTATAAAATATCACACCGTAGTTCAATGACTATTATCTTGCATTAACGAAGATGTGAGTTTTTTTCGTAAATTTTTTAAACTTTTTTTATCAAAACCAAATATCACAAACACACTTGAAGTAAGAACCCTCGATCGTCAAAAGACAAACATGAGGTTCAAGGCCATACAGTGTTCTCGATCCAGTCCAAGTAGTGGTATACTTTTGAATAGACACCTGGTATCACGCTGCCACAAAGTTTTCCAAAGGAAGTGACCCCAACGATGTCGTACATGCATTCTTCGGAGTTACTGTAGACCATCAGTGGACCACCGCTGTCACCCTATATGCCAAAAAAGAGGATGCATGAACTCAAGTATTACAAACAAAAAAAAAAAAAGGTTAAATATCGTTTGAATACCTGACAAGTATCCTTGCCATCTTCCCCGGCACACAACTGTGATTCAGCACTTAGGCCCTTAGGAAGTTTGTTTCCCTCGTTTGCGAAAAGCCCCTTGCAGGTATCAAACGCCACAATGGGTAATGTGACTTTCAATAGATCGGGGGATCCTTTCTCGTCAACTAGGAGTTTTAAAAAATTTGTTATTCTTTGCTCTCCGTATTTTTTTTTCCGTTGTCAATACGTTGTAAAAGAAAAATGTAATTATTTTAGAACGCAGTACAATTCCAGCGATTTTAATACGATAAAATGTGACAGATGCAACATATGTGATTCGACAAAAACACTCACACCAGTCGACGATGCCCCAGCCTGCAACGACCGTCTTCTCGCCGGTTTGGATGTTGGGGTTGAGGGACAGACATGCTGGCCTCACGTAGGCGTCAAACGTCACTGGCCTGTCCATCTTGAGGAGGGCGATGTCGTTGTACTGTGCCGGTTTTTTGTAATCGGGATGCCTGACGCGTTCAATAACACGACGGTCCTGAGGTCTTGCATCGTCCTTTTTGCTCTCAAGATTGAGGTCGCCCACGCGAATGTGCTCAGCGTATCCCCTGAAAAAAAAAACCAAATTAGTTACTCAGTGCCGTCCTATACTGGCTACTTATGTCTTAGTAATTTGATGCAAAATTTTTATTGTGAGAAATTGACCCTCTTACTCTAATTTTAAGTTGAACCCATCGAATAATGCCCTAACATCATTTCTTGTTATATTACCAATGCAAAAAGTGCAATTGCATATAGTATCGATTTCTTATGTCAAATATTATTCAAACAAATAATTAATTTCATATACAAGATAGGCTCAAGTTTAACATGCTATGCGTGCATTAGTGTATGCTTGTATGCACAAGTACGTGTAAGTATATGGACTAAGTATATCCAATTGGACTTAAAAAATAATGAAAACATACATCTTAATTTTCATACGACAGTCTGACGGTAATTTGATTTTTCGTACGTATAAGTTGACATTAATAGTCCATGGAGAATTGCAAAAAGTTCTGGGTGAAAAAATTTTTTTTTTTATTGCTATTACACAAAACAATAAATTTAAATAAAGATTTAGCCTCGGAAAGAAAGTTTTGAATATTAAAAAAATACAATTCTTATTTGTTTCGTATGTTTTCCTCTTTGTCATGTAACTTTGAATCAATGAAATTCTTTTTATGTCGATGAAAAAAGAAACCATCAAATCAAGTATGAGAAGCACTTGGCTATTGTTTTTATATGTTGACGTTTCTTCAATTAATCTCTGTCAAACTCATCAGAAGTTATACGTATTAAAATACTTTAATGTCAACATTGTTGCAGAGTCGATAAATCAATATTCTTAGAAAAGTTCAATAACAATATGTTATTGAATTGATTATTTATAAATCGCGATATCAGTTGTGTATTTTTCTATTGGTATCACCTCTAATTACTACTATACGGTATCACCTCTAATTACTACTATACGGTATAAATACCTGTTTTGCCAGGGAAACATTATATAGCAATTAGACTTTATCGCACACTAAAAACACATAGCTGATATTTTGCAATTTACTCAATCTGTTCTTATTTTAACTGTCGTTGTATTTTCTTAGTATAAAACAATCACCTCTAAAAAAAGCGCATGACTATTCAAAGACATACTCAATCATCTGATGAAGTCAGTGGAAACTGACCAAGTGTCAATAGAATGTACCAATAAAAAAGCTCTGATTTTTTTCCTTTTTCAACGAAGAAAACGTTACTTTTCTCACATTGTTGATTATCGTGTGTAGTCGAGAAAAATTGTTAAACGATTATTTGTATCATGTACATCTTTGTCCAGGATGCAATTCCGATTAACATTTACAGTCTAAATAGTAAAGAATTATTTAAACGAGCAATTCCTTGTCCGTTGTAGTGACAAGTTGACATATTTCAATGAAAACCTGGGTACTAAAAAATCATACATACATAAAAAAACACACACAATTTTTCTTACCATTACTTATTAAAAAAGAAAAAATCATCTCAACATTTTAGTTTCTAAAGAAAACATAAGAAAATATTTTAAAAATCAAGGTCCACGCATAGTCAAGAGTACAACAATTTTTGTAAGTTAGATAACTGTAAATTATTATTTTGTCACGAAAAAAAAAAAAAAAAAAAAAATAATAAAATTAATACAAATAATGTAGAAAAGTAAGATTCGCTATATTTACTTTGAAATAAATTCCATCCATCCTGCCTTAAACTATTTTTCAAATTGTTTCTCATTTTTAATTATTTCCCTTGTGCTGCCAAGGTAACTCGAGTTTCGTAGTTGAAAAATAATAGACCCTAAAGTACCGTTGAAAGTAAATTAGCTCACCATTGGAACGAGTAGGTGCAATGCGCCGCTGTAAGGACCCACAAGTCGGAGATAAGACTTCCACCGCAATTCCAGTAGATTTTGTTGTTCTTGGTGTAACCGATCGCCGCCATGTGCGGGAACTCCTTGGGCTCGGCTTTGGTGCCACCCACTATGAGTTTTTTCGATTTTATGGCGCACAGCGAGACGTTGACGTACATCCGATCGCCACCGGTTAGGACAGGTGGCTCTACGAGGGCGTACACCGATTTTGCGTACTCTTGGCACACTATAAAAAAAAAAAAAAAAAAAATCATGTTTGGATGATATATTTTTAAGAATAACTAAACGGTTTTTATCAACGCAAGGGTATATTCGCTCTTCCTCAACATCGGTCAAGTAATGATCATTTTTTATTCGAGATTGAATCATTACAAAATAGGGTTTAAAAAAACTAAAAAAATAAATAAATAAATGTAAGATGTTAAAAAAAAGTTTTTGTTTCGTTTTTAATAGTGAATTCGAGTATAATAATTTTTATCATGAAAAGTAAGTTACGAGGCAAAGTTTTACAACTGGGGCATCAACATTTTTTATGAATGTACTCGGACAAGTACTACTCGAGTATGTGCGTGGTAAATAAAACCTACACGAGCTGTACATTATACGCGCGCGAGATATAGCTTAAAAGAAAGAAAAAATAAAAAATAAAAAAAAAAAAAAAAAAAAAAAAAGCAAGGGCAATGAGAAAAAATGAAGTAATAAAGATAAAAAGTGAAAACGTCATAACTGCTTTGAGAACAGCCCGGATGACAAAGATTTTTCATCCAAATGATCGCTCGAGTCCTGTTGACTTACAACTTTTACATTGTTTACACTTTTGAAAATTTAATGAAAATCATGTCGCTTGTTTTCGCCTTGAAAACTTTTGCAAATTGTTCTGATACAATTGGCGGATACTTACATAGTGTCGCAAAAGGCTTGAAAATTGGTTGATCGACGAAAAAAATCTTCGAAAAAGTACGTAAGCGTAAATGCAAATTTGGAAATGTATATTTATAAATGTTCGAGTCATAAATCGATCGACAATCTCCAAATTCCTTAAATATGTCAATAACGGAAAAATAAAAGAAAATACTCCAAACAAGTTTTCATTTTTGGCTCGCTAGGTTTATCTCTACCTATTTATTTAGGATTTCAAAATTTAAACTTTTAGACGGACAAAGTTTAAGTGACAAGAAAGCCTAAGAAAATCGCAATATCTTAGGCCCAAAGTCAGCAAAATCAATGTAAATCACACGTAATAAAAGTGTGACCTTTGGCTTACATTCTAACCGAGGATTCAGATGCATTGGCCTACGAAGTACTTAAGATATTTTATAATATATTTTTGTGGGTCCAGGTGAAGCGTATACAAATATTGAAAATGCACTCTACCTTCAGCGGAATTATTTTTTATTTTTTTATTAAGCGCGACATGATAGTGTATATTACGACACGCTTACACCCACACGCTCAATTTTGGACAGTTCGAAAAACTCGCACGGAAATTTACCTAAGCTTTCTCAAACATGATTAATCTCACGGCTTGATGTAACGCGTTATATTTTAATATTCCTTTAATTTATAACATCCGATTGATAAAAACAACACTTTTTTTTTTTATTTATACGGTAAATGTTACCTCCCCCAAAGATAATTGAGTTGTTGTCCTTGTTTGCCCAACAATGACGTTCGTGATTCCTTTCGGAATGACATAACTGGTACAGTGGCAGTTTTTCAACGCAGATTGAATAATAATCATCGGATGTGCAAAATTACTTGTGAAAGGAAAAAGAAGAAAAAAAAAAATGTAACTTACTCTGCTGGGCGCGTCTAATTCTGTGATTCCACTTGAACGGCTTGTTGGTAGTCAAGTCCTCGTTACCACCCCATGCAGGCGTCGATTGTGTGGTGGATCTAGTTATGGTACTGCCACTGTTGGGGCAGCAAATTATGGGCATCCTGTCCTTGTAGCCACATACCGATTCGGGGCGTTTTCCCGCTATCAGTTCGTTGTAGACTGAGGTACACTTTGTCAGCAGCTGGCAGGTGCCCTGCTGATTTTTCAGGGAGCATTCAGAGCCTGTTGTTACAACGGAAATGGAAATGTTTAGAGTCAATGTTGCAGTGCATTCTTCGATCATTCGTGTCAATGAATTTTTTTTTTTTTTTTTTTTTATCAGTTAGAAATTTTTTAAGTGTATAATCAACGAAGTTTACTGTGTGAATCCAAATGTATCATTTTAATTTTGTAGATTCACAAAATCCATTACTTCAATGTTACACTCAAAATTTGGTGAAACATCTGAAAAATCTATCATAGTTTGCTCAATAAATAATAATGAACCATTAACATTTTAAAAAGTCAGACTTGGACACGAATACATTAAAAATTATTTTAAAACATTTTTGGCTAGTGTAACTTATTTTTTATGATGAAATTCTTTTTTTTTTTTATTTAATTTTTATAAGCTGTGGTCAACAAAATTTTTCTACCTAAAATAATACAATTACAGTATAGAAAAAAAAGTCAAATATCTAAAATTTATTGCATGTTTTTACTAGAAAAAAAGTTTTTCTCGGTATTGTATTGTAACTGATTATTTAGTGAAAGATGGTCTCACAATAAACACTGCATTGTATTTAGGAAAAAAAATTTCTTTTGAAGTTTAAAAAAAAATTGCAAGTCAGTAAACGTTAATGACAGAATTTTTTTACAGAACAGAATAAATTTGAAAAAAGGTTATTGCTTCGAATAGCTTTAGTTTCTTATTTAGAATAAAAAATATTTTTATTTGATTTGTGGTTTAATTGCAAGTAGAGAATTTGTAACTATTATTATTTTTTATGAAAAATTTAGAAATGCGTTACCTTCAGACTGTGCAATTACCAAATTTCGGTCCACCGTCGCTAACACCATCAAAATAATACACCACCACATGATTCTTTACTCTTAATAAAAAATAAAAAAAAAATAAAAAAAAAGAACGCACTTTCTAATATCAATAAAAGGATCCGTCGATACGAGGAACGAGGACTCCGCGTTACCAAAATCGCAACTGTTCTTATTTTAGTTTCGGCACCTGGTTTTTATGGTGCCTTCCCCTCCCATTAAAAGTTAAAAGATAGGAGTCACTCCCACTTGCGGGAGCTTTCCCACTTGATGCGTTTTTTTTATCAGAGTAATGCATAATACGTATTGTTTGCTTTTTCTTATATATGTTGTATTAGTAAATAAGACTCCAATAATTTGTGCTCATACAGATAACTCCGCGAAATCCTTTGTCAATAATAACATAAATTCCTTTGTATTTAAATTCATGATATAATATACGGCACAAGTTTTTTTTCTCACTCACTCTCGGGTATGTGCATTCGAATGCAAATATAAAAGTAATGTTGGTGAAAAAACATCGTCGAATCTGAAATTTTAATGAATCAATGGCAAAGAGAAAAATAACCCAAACAAATCGCCGGAACGTTGGGTCGAAAATTCACACACGCCCATTTTTTCACGCTAAAAATAAACATGACCATGACTCCTCTTTTTAAAAAAGACAAAAACTTACCGATTACCTGTCCAGCAACTAAAAAACACTCCGTTGCACAGAACAGGAGCATCAACCTGTAATTGAGTGACGACAGCATTTCAACGACCGATTTGTAACGACACCGATAATTTTAATGTTAAACTCACGGTACATACGCACTAACGATTATTTAACCACTTGTTTGTCTGATTGCTAGTGTGTGCCTACTATTACATGCACCGTCGCGCTGTTGTTTCTACCTGTGCGCCTAATATACTGTTTTGAAATTCCCCAGTATTCACTACACATAAAAATTATGACGATCTGCTCGCGAAACCAGGAAATCGGATGAAAAAAAAAAAAAAAAAAAAAAGATCGGCAACGATCCCTGTGACGCACGCGTTCGCTGAAATCCCTTGGATACTGCCGGTAGTCTGCCGATCGTCTTGGCCTCGGCTCTCTGCGCGTCCGTGGATTATGCACCTGCACCTCATACTCCGGTCTCTCTCGCTCCGCTGTTCCGATGCGTAGCGATGACTAGGAACTTGCTCTTCTTAATGGCTCATCTGTATGCACGTATACCGATTTATTGAGCCTGACTTGTCCGATCGGTAATCGTGGAAAAGCTTTACGTTGGTACACTATTAACCGGAAAATAATTCGTTCCCCGGGAAATTCAAATGCAGGTATTTACTTATAACATTAAAATATTAGTATCAATTTTAACGATGAAGTAACGATTTTACAATAACGTCTATGACTCAAACAACCACTTGGCTAACTTATAAATATTTATACTAAAATTATAAATTTTGTTTTACAAAAAATAGTTGAAGCATTTGAATTTCGCGGGGAACGAATTATTTTCCGGTTAGTGTACGTTTACTTATCGGTTTTCGATACTTGTCTATAAAAAAAAAAAAATTAAAGCTTTACGTAGGAGATGAACTAATATTCGTGGAATCGCGATACAATAAGGTATTTTTTTTTATGTTGCCATTTTGACCACAATTGACAGCAGTTCCATCGCGTACATGAACAATTCTACAAAAATCGTTTGTGGGTGAAATATTTTTTTTTTTTCATTTTACGTTTTATCAATTGATTTTTTTTTTTTTACGAAATATTGCGTGGTTAATTATTTTTGATTATATTTAGTCCAAACTAATAGATTCAAGATCTGCAGTGATGGCCAGGCGTGGATGACAATTGCATACGGGACATACCTGGTCAAAGTTGTATTTATTATTGGAAAAAAATTAGTTTTATTTGACAAAAAAAAATTGCTTCTTCAACTTAATGTAATTGCATTTATAGTAAAATAACGATTTTTTTAAATCTTAATGACAAGTACTTGAATTTAAATGAAAAAAAAAAAATTCCAACAAGCATAGATCGTATTGTAATTAAAATATGTCGAATACATAAAACAATACTTGTTTAATCTAAATACTTCATTCGAAATATAACATCTCAACTAAAATATTATAAATAGTAAAAACTTTCGATACAATTTATACTTGGTCAATGTATCTCAAATACATACGCATTTTAAAAATTTTATTTCAGATACAATAACTGGCAATAACATGTCATTGTATACTTTAACACATTTTCACCAATAGCCACAATATGTGAAACAATTTTTTAAACATTCCTTTGATTTCATCAATATTATCATTCAGGTATAAATATGATTTATATGACCAGAGTGTATCAAACCCTTAACAATGGCACACGTGTTCAAAAAACCGTCACATACATTTTAAGTAAAGAGATTGTCAAATGTAGCAAAGAAAATAGTCAATTTTTTTTTTCTTTTTCATTACAATCTCGTTCCACGAAAACACCTGAAGCAAACTTTCCGATCTTCAAACAAGTTTTAAGGTTCAAGGCCACACAGTGTCCTCGATCCAGTCCAAGTAGTGGTATACTTTCGTGTACACGCCAGGAATGACACTCCCACAAAGTTTTCCAAAGGAAGTGACCCCAACGATGTCGTACATGCATTTGTACGAGTCGCTCTTGACCATCAAAGGACCACCGCTGTCACCCTACAAGAAGTGCCAAAAAAAAGGGTCCCATAAAATTAAGTTGGTGTTGCGGAATAAAAACAAATGCTCCTCACCTGGCAGGCATCTTTCCCATCTTCCCCAGCGCACAATTGTGACTCGGAATTGATGCCTTTTGGAAGTCTGGCTGGCTCGTTCCCATAATATCCCTTGCAGGCGTCGTAAGACGCAACGGGTATATGCACCTTCATTAAGATGGGGGACCCTTCTTCGTTAGCTAATAATACAAATATATATATACATATTTAACAATTTATCAATCCTTACTCGTACAATCATCTCACTCATCCGACTATACTCACTCCAGTGGACGATACCCCAGCCGGCTACTGTCATCCTTTCGCCCGATTGGACGTCGGGGTTCAGGGATAGACAGGCCGGCCTCACGTAGGCGTCAAACGTCACTGGCCTGTCCATCTTGAAAAGAGCAATGTCGTTGTATTCTGCCGGTTTTTTGTAGCCGGGATGTCTGATGCGCTTAGAGACGCGTCGTTCCTGAGGTTTCGCGTCGTCACCCTCACTCGCCAGGTTTAGGTCACCCACGCGCACGTACTCGGCAAATCCCCTGGAACAATCGAAAAGTATTTCTCAGGCAATTAATGTGCAAGTATAAGAGATAAAACATCATTTTTTCGTACACGTTTGTTCCATGGGGTCATACGTTGTACAGTTACAGGAAAAAAAAGACTTTTTGTAGTTATTTTATTATCTACAATTATTTTTGCGGCATAGTAATCGAATGAAACTTTTAAAAAATCATTTGAAAAACCAATTTTCTCCCTATAACTTGAAGGACCAGTTTTTTGATGGATTAAACATAAATTATTTTAATGCTGTTAAACTGAACAGTAACAGGACAATATTAAATATTTTGAATCATTTGAGTCGATGAAAAATTCGTAAAACAAGCGAAATCGCATTAAAGTAAATTTTTCGTAGAGTGTCAAGTGATCTCAAATTGGAAAAAAAAAATTGTTTATCTCACCATTCGAACGAGTACGTGCAATGCGCCGCTGTAAGGACCCACAAGTCGGAGATGAGAGCACCGCCGCAATTCCAGCGGATCGGGTCGTTCTTCTCCTTGACGAAACCGATGGCAGCCATGTGCGGGAACTCCTTGGGCTCGGCTTCGTTGCCACCAACTATGCGCGTTGCCATTCTTACTCCGCACGCCGAGACGTTGACGTATGTCTGGATGCCGTCTCTAATGACCAGTTTTTGGGTGTACGCCAATTTCGAGTACTCTTGGCACACTAGAGGAGATTTAGAAAATTTTAAAGTAATATCAAAAAATCGTGATTGTTTTTGTCAAGCCTTTGTTAAATTTTGTGGTTACGGATCGTTTTTTTACTATTAGGACAGTCAAGGTGAAAAAGTCCTTATTTTACGGATTTATCCTTTTTTTAATAATAAATCATCAATATAAGTAGAAATTATTTGTAAAAAACGCTGTAGGTCGTGATGATAAAAGACAAAAGGATCGTTATTTGATTATATCAGAAATTATTTGTGTATGAAAAATGTAAAAAATAGATGATAAAGCCTTTCGATTCTCCACATGATTAAGAAAAATTTCTTTTTTTTTCCAATGCTAGTAGTGCGTAATAAATAATTAATTTTAATTGACGCGTGAATTTTGAGGTAAAATTAAAGTGACGGGTTACCATAATTTTTTATGAATGTAGCCAAGTAGCAGTACTATTTTTGCATATGAAAAATAAATGAATAATAATAATTTCATCGAATTTCAAGTTGCTTGTAAGGACAACGAGGAAAAATAACGTAACAAAGATAAGAAGTGAAAACGTCACTTCAGCATCGGGAACATCCCGGATGACGAATAGCTTTTCTCTGAAAAATAATCGCTCGAATGCCAGCGATTTAAAATCCTCACAACGTTTGCATTTTTGAAAACTTAATAAAAATCACTCCACCTGTATAATTACAAATATGTCATAAATCGGTCTGATTTAATAAAGAGCACAAAACATTTTAATAAATAATACAAAGTGTCATAAAAGGTTCGAAAATTGGTTGATTGCATTGATTGGCCCGAAATATCTTCAAAAAAGTACACAAGCATAAATGTAAATTTGGAAATATACATATAACAATATCCTATAAATTAATGATAACTGACTGACTAGAGAAAAATGTAAGCCCACACTTCAAGTCTGACTGAAGATTCAGACCCCAGAAAGAATCTCTTTTTTTTTTTTCTTTTTTTTTTCAATTACGCCTTCGATTTGTTGAATCAGATTGATGAAAACAGTGCGCTCTGCGTATGGCTCATTTTATTTGCCTAATATATTTCCTAAAGTTAATTGAGCTGTAGTACTTATTAAATTTACAGTATCGTTTGTGATTCCATCCGATACGACCAGACTTTGACAGAATCCCTTTTTTCTAACAAATATTGAGTTAATAACCGGATTTGCGAAAAAAAAAAAAAAAAATCTTACTCTGCTCGGAACGTCTCATATTAGGATCCCACTCGAACGGTCTGCCGGTGGTCGTGACCTCGTTGCTACCCTCCGTGGGTTTCGATGGGGTGGTGGGGCTAGCGGTGGTGGCGCCCTTGATTGGACAACAGACTATTGGGATCAACTTATCGAAGCCGCATACCACCTCGGGCCGCTTACCGGCTTTCAGGTCGTCCAAGGCTGGACCGCACTTTGTCAGCAGCTGACAAGATCCCCGCTGGGTCTTTATATGGCACTCGGAACCTGTTATTGGAGGAAATTTGGAGAGGTTTAAGAGTCGATACTTTTTATTGACTGGATGAAAAAAAAAAAAAAAAAAATGGTGATTCGAAAAGATGTGCTGTCTTTTTTCTTTTATAGGCGTGAAGAACGTCGTTTAACATTTTTACAGGATTAAAACGAATGTAGCCATTATGAATGATAAATTCATAAAATATACTCTTCAAATGTTAAATTTGTACTTCAACACATTTTTTTCTCTTTTTTTCTGCTTATAGCTACAATTCACTTGAGTGAGTAAGTTGTTGTTGCTACATACTTTAAATATGTTGTTTCAACATTTTCATTGCGTATATAATAAAGTATATATTAAAATCGGTTGAAACGACTAAATACATTCACGACTTTTCTATGTTTTGTTAAAACATGAGTACCAATTATATTTTAAATTTTACGTAGAATAGTTAAGCTTTTCATCAACCACTCGGTTAAAAGACAACCCAAATTTTTAAAACTTTCCATTAATTTTTTTTTCATCACTTTGTTTACCTGTAAAGTACATTAAGTTCAAACAAAAACTGAATGTTAATTCAATCTCTTTAAGTATATTGAAATAACACACTAAGATTTGAAGTATAAATGCTGTTAATGTCTCACTGAACATTTAATAAATAATCCGAATCCAAAAATGAATTCACGGTGAATTAATACTGAAAAAATGTGTAAAATTAATCGATTGGGAAAATGAGTTTAATGTTTAATGAAATACTGATTTGTTTTTCTCTAAAACGTTTAGTAACCCTATAACTCTAAAATGGGTTCAACAAAAATTAGATATTTCTACCGCTCGTTTTAAACGCGATGTATTATATTTTTAGACCCATATTAAAACTTAATTCTAAAAGTAATAACAAATAAATGATTTGTATATTTATATGTTAAAAATATATTGAAATATAAATATATTTATTGTTTTTAATTTATTTGTTATTAAGTATTTATATTTAAATGTAAAAAACATTTATATCATACCTAATAAATATTACACAAAAGAATATTTGAAAACAAATAATTTAAGTTAATTTAATCTCCTGTTCAATCGCAATGAGTTAAAAATATAATTTTTGGTTTGTTAACTATTTTATTTCTTACCTAAAGACTGCGCATTTACCAAAGTCTGGTCCATCATCGTCAATATTAGAAAAATAATACACCACCACATGATTTTTTCTTTTGACGAATAATAAAAATGACACAATTTTTAATACACGAAATGACCCGTTGACACGAGCAACGAATACTCCACGTTGCCAAAATCGCAACTGGTCTTATTTGAGTTTTGGCATCTGGTTTTTGAAGAATCCAACCTTTGCCTTCCATTGAGCATTTTTTTCTCAATCAAGATAAGAGCCACTCCCACATGTGGGAGCAAACTTTTTTTATCAGTTGTACAAATATATATTGATGTATATGTATTGTTTGCGTTTACCGTTTCGTTGTCCAGCCACGAGCAGATATTTCGCTACACAGTAGAGCCTCTTGCAATTTTATGCAGTTGTTCATATTTTATATATTGATTTAAAAAAAAAATAAAATAAAATACTTCTATCTGTTACAGCAATTTTCGGTAAGAGTTCAATTAGTATTGATCAAGATGTAGAAGAAAATGTAAGCTCACCAAAACAGAAAATAACATTAGAAATAAAAGTTACAGGGAAATATTTTAGTTTTACCGCATTTGGTGGATTTACAAAAATAAGATTTTGTGTATAAACTAAAAAATTAGAAATATTTTCTATGGTACGCAACCATGGAATTATTTCTTTGTAACAACATATAATTATGTTGTGAGTATACTCACTTTCATCAACCATACGTGCAATAAAAAAAATTTGTTTTATTTCATAAATAAAAGCGCATTTTTTGAATTGATTTTTTTTATACTTCTTTTCAAATTTTTGGTTACAATTTTTATTTACAATTGACATAAATATTTCACAATGTATTTTTGACTTTTATAACTTACCTCCCATGAAATTTAACAGAAACAGACAAGTATAGTAAGACAAATATTTAAAATCTTTCATTTTCAATTTGCTCTAAAATTGATAAAAAAATTTTGGCGCACTACGTTTACATTGCACTATCATCCATGATAAAGATTCTGTCAAAAAAAAAATTATTTTGTCTTATCTAGATATTAATCTAGAGTTAATATGTAGCTGCTACTTGGCTAGTATACGATAATATTTGATTACTGCACTGCATTTTGGTGTTGAAAAATTGTGACTCAAGCTTTTTTAAAGACGCAAGAAGGTTCGCGCCTTCGAAATAACTAAAAACATGATAAATATGTATACTCTTTAAACTTGGTTTAAGGACATGGTAAATTAATATGATTCTCTAACTAGTATTTGAAGCAATATTCCTGCTTTTATGATTAAACATTGCATCGAGAATTTTCTTTCATTACTGTAACAATTTCTTACAAATAATACTTTTTTTGTACGTGCTGAAAGATAAATTTTAGTTTAATCAATTTCTTGTTTATTAGATAGTCGATCTATTCCGATTTAGATTCAAATATTACTTGCATATACTATTAAGTATACAATGTTTTTCATCAAAATCTATTTTTTAATTTTAACTTTTTAAACAAAAGCATACGTATAAGTACATAACTGTATGTATAACCTTTATAGAGAACATCATCAAATCCTATCTTGAAAGGGTAATAATACTTAATAACGGAACATTGAAGGTTTCGAGTTATATGATGTCGTGAATACTTTTATTTGACCCTAATGAGGAGCTTTAAGGAGCAGATGAAAGAAAATAACATTGAACTCGGTGTTAAAGAGACCAATGGTTTTTGAAGGGTTAAATAGACTTTACAAATGTCGAAGATTATCATGTTTTTGATAACAGTTTTACAACTGAAAACTTAACTTTATTATCATTGAAAAAAATTTTTTTTTATTAAAACCACATTTTACGAACACCCTAGAGGTAGAATCCTCGGTTGCCAAAAAATAAACATAAGAATATTTTAAGATTTTAATTTTTTCCGATGTCAAACAAGTTTTAAGGTTCAAGGCCACACAGTGTCCTCGATCCAGTCCAAGTAGTGGTTTACGTTTGTGTAGATGCCAGGAATGACACTCCCACAAAGTTTTCCAAAGGAAGTGACCCCAACGATGTCGTACATGCATTTGTACGAGTCGCTCTTGACCATCAAAGGACCACCGCTGTCACCCTACAAGAAGTGCCAAAAAAAAGGGTCCCATAAAATTAAGTTGGTGTTGCGGAATAAAAACAAATGCTCCTCACCTGGCAGGCATCTTTCCCATCTTCCCCAGCGCACAATTGTGACTCGGAATTGATGGTTCCATAGTATTTGTTGCAGGTCTCATAATCCACAATGGGTACTTGGACCTTCATCAAGTCGGGGGACCCTTTTTCGTTAGCTAAAATGAGCAATATCTCAATGGCGAATCTTTCATTAGTCTTTACCACAATATACCTACTCCAGTCGGTGATGCCCCAGCCGGCAACAATGGTCTTCTCGCCGGGTGGGATGTTGGGGTTTAGGGACAGACATGCCGGCCTCACGTAGGCGTCAAACGTCACTGGCCTGTCCATCTTGAGAAGGGCGATGTCGTTGTACTGGTCGGGCCTTTTGTAATCGGGATGTCTGATGCGTAGGAAAACGTTTCGTTCTTGAGGTTTTGCGTCGTCATCCTCACTCTCCAGGTTTAGGTCACCTACGCGCACATACTTGGCGTATCCCCTGGACCAAACAAGCCTTTAGATAGAGTCTTGTAGGGTTGACTTTCGTGTTACATTACATTATCTCATGTAAGTATTGTATTAAGAAAAAAAAATCCAACGGTTCTGAATAAAGTCCGCGATCACAAGTGATATTTATAACTTTGCCATACCATGCACGTTAAAAAAAAGTTGGGATGATTTGGATTTTCCATCTGAATTTAATATTTAAAGGTGGGAGGTATGGAACCCATATTTTTGGGTGGTTTGGGTATTTAATTTGTTTGTGCAAAATATAACTATGAAGATATAACTTTTCGATTTTATCTCATATTATTTACTCAAAACACGATTTGTAAAAAAAATACCAGTTCTTAAAATTACTTGTAATTAAAAGTATGCAAGAACCAATAGTAAGTATCCTACAGTCTATCCCCTTCCAAGTTCCTCCACTTGGATGGTTAGCCATTGATCTTACTTTTAAGGTCGGCATGAAATAAAAAAAAAGTTGTAGATAGAAAAAAAAAAAAACTTTTTTGCATCGTTTACATTCTTTCGTACGTAATGTTTCTCTATTGTTGTGAATAGCAAAAAAATTAATGAAACTCGCGATTATTTTTTTTATTATAGTAACAAATGGACATTCAACAAAAAAGTGTGCTATTCCTCGAGTTTCAAATCACAGGCAGAATATACTTTTCGTAATTACTTTTATTAGTTTTTTGAAAATAATTCTTATGCCGTAACAATCGTTTAAGGAAACCTTGAAAAATATATGAAAATCAATGCTCTCCACGTATGACTTTTATACCTTCGTCCCCGGCAACTCCAATCACACGAAAGATTCCATCACTATTCATATGGGAAACTGTCCTTTCTTTATTAATTACGTAAATAATTATTTTATACGCCTAACATTAACATTGTCGAGTAATATCAAACTTGCACAGTCCGTTAATTACATGGCCCAATAAACCTCCTGGTCCAATTACATTACAGAGTCTTGAGCTTACGGAGGAAAAAATAGAAGAAAAAAATAAAATATAAAAAATGTGCTCACCAGGGAAACGCGTAGGTGCAATGCGCCGCTGTAAGGACCCACGAGTCGGAGATAAGCGCTCCACCGCAGTTCCAGCGGATCGAGTCGGAATTTTCCTCGTCGTATCCGATGGCAGCCATGTGCGGGAACTCCTTGGGCTCGGCTTTGGTGCCACCCACGATGAATTTCGTTTTTGCGACACACTGCGACACGTTGACGTATGCCGAGGTGTTTACCAATTTTGCGTACTCCTGGCACACTATGGAAGATTAATCGTTGGATTGCTTTTTAGGACATTTGTGAAAATTTTTGCAAACAATTATTTAAATGACGGACTGGCAGCAAGAACATTCTTAAGCGAGGATAAATACGAGTTGCTTCGGTGTACGTTTATTACATTTTAAGTTAATTATTACTTCTGATGATCGGCTCAATCAAGACGGGGATGGATGAATTTTGTGCCTTTATCCTAACAATGGTCAATTACAATTTTTTATAACGATACAGAAATAGGGATCAAACACGAAAAAGGATACCACCTGGAAGGATGAAAATAATTTTTATATCGAAAATACATGTGATAGATGTATGGTGAAGATATTCTACTCTCCACATGATTCAATAAAAATTTGATTGTAAGAATTTATCGTAAAACATCGATAAAGATAAAAAAAATCTTCGATTATCAGAGCAATCGAATGATTACAGCAATTTTTGAATACCTTATATGCGCTGATTACATAAAAGTATAACAGTATCCTATTAATAATAAATGTTCATCCTGATCGGCTAGACTTATCTTTTTGTATTTGTTTTGGGTCTCTGAATTCGAATTTGTTAGTATATTTCATATTTTGACCTTAAAAACCAATAGAACCAATGTCAATCACACGAAAAAAAGATATATTCAAGATTCAGATTCACCGATGCAAATTACCTACTTGAAAAAATAAGTCTAATCCACTAGAACAAAAAGTTCGTCTTTTTTTGTAAGACTTGGTAATGTATTTTAATATGCTTGAAACATTTATAAAATAAAACAATTATTTCACTCAATTTATAAGCATAATGTAACTGGATATTATCGCATGTACAAATATAAACAATCTCAATCGAGGACAGATCGAAAAACTCGCACGGAAAATTACTTCAATCTTTCTCAAATATGATCAATCTCACGGCTTTGATTACTGTATTTTATCTAAATACGCCTTTATTTTATTATATCTGATTAATAAAAACAACACGTTCTGTTTTTTTTTTATATGGCAAATATATTACCTTTCCCAAAGATAATTGAGCTGTACTTATTTGACTAACAACATCATTTAGTTGTGGTTCTGCTCAAAATGAAACAACTTATACAGTTGAGCTTTTTGAAAATGTTTATTCAAAATTGTTGTAAAAAAAAAAAAACTTACTTTGTTCAGCTCGTCTAATCTCAGCAATCCACATACCCGGCTTGATGTTAGTCATGTCCTCGTTGCCAGCCCCTGTAATGGAAATATTAAAAGTCAACGCTGCAATATGTAATGTTTGTTAATGAATTTTTTTTTTTTTTTACCACAATTTACAAAGTTGTCTAACAAATTACAATCCGTGAAATTTATAATTTTGTGTTTGAAGTCGTTTTTTCGGGGTGTTGGGAACAAAGTTTGATGAAGTTGGTTTTTTCTAACACTATTAACTACCTTTTATTTCAGTGTAGTTTTAACTCACCCTAGGCGTATAACTGTTTATTATCATATTAGTCACTCAAAGTGATTAATTTAAACACATTTCCATTACACACATGGGTTGGTTGAAACAATGGAAAAGTTAGTGTATAAAAAGTTAAATCGAATCAAAACACTTGAAAGGAGGAATTGCAATAACACATCAAGGTTTGCAGTATGGATCGTGTCAATAACGCAGTGAATATTTTATAACTAATCTGAATAATTTATCGTCATCTACTCAGTGAAGTCTAATGAACTGAAGATTTTTAATGATAAAAATTATGCTTGAAGGCCATGCAAATGATCAAACACTTATGTCACGCGTAATGCACTTGTTAAAGTATTGAAGTAACAAAATTTTCTTATACTACGCCATTCCAGTATCATTATTCTTTAGAAAAAATACAATCTATTCGGAAGAGCTGGTTAAGTATTTAATGAAACACTAATTTTGTTGTTTTTAAAAGGCATACTAATACTTTAACGCATTTGAATAAAATAAGTAATTTAAATTACACGCTTTGAACGTGGTATTTTAACAAACTTAGATTTATAGTGTCAATACATATTAAAATTACTTGTATGATTTGACAGATGTTGAGACATAACTGTACAAAAAAATTTTTTTTTTATTTGTCATTGCCATTGTTAGTTTTTTTGCAGTGTGCATGCCATTAACTTATTTGAATATTTCAAGAAAATAATTTAATTTGATTTGCCTTTCAATCTAAAATTTGAATATACGTTTACCTTTAAACTGAGCATTAACCAAAGTCCGGTCGACCGAAACGAAAAACAGTAAAGTAACACACCACCACATGATTTTTTATTTGAAAACAAAAAAAAAAAAATTAAAACAACAATCTTTCCAGCTTACAAAATAGCCCGTCGATATGGCCAATAACAAATCCGCGTCGCAACTGCTTTTATTTCAATTCCAGCACCTGATTTTTCTGCCTCCCTCCCCTTTCAGTGAGCTTTCACGATTTATACTTTTTTTATCAGTGTATGCTGTAAAGACAAGTAATTACTTGCGTCAAATCAATGATTGATTAACGAATATTTTTATTGAAAGTAAAAGTTAATACATATAAAAACTCGAAACTTCTAAACACTTACTCCATGAAAATAGTTTATAAATAGTTGTTTCAGATAATAACACACAAATGAAACTTGAGTAATTATCTAGGTATATTTTCTAATTTGATGGTAGTTCTACTAAAAACCAAAAGTACCACTAAAAATTTTAGTTGATAAAAAAAAAAAATCGATTTCCTTTGTAAGTTTTACCTTTTTATTGACATCACATTTCATGATCATTACTAGAGCAAATTTCTTGATCGTCAAAAAAGTTTTAAGGTTCAAGGCCACACAGTATCCTCGATCCAGTCCAAGTAGTGGTTTACGTTTGTGTAGATGCCAGGAATGACACTCCCACAAAGTTTTCCAAAGGAAGTGACCCCAACGATGTCGTACATGCATTTGTACGAGTCGCTCTTGACCATCAAAGGACCACCGCTGTCACCCTACAAGAAGTGCCAAAAAAAAGGGTCCATAAAATTAAGTTGGTGTTGCGGAATAAAAACAAATGCTCCTCACCTGGCAGGCATCTTTCCCATCTTCCCCAGCGCACAATTGTGACTCGGAATTGATGGTTCCATAGTGTTTGTTGCAGGTCTCATAATCCACAATGGGTACTTGGACCTTCATCAAGTCGGGGGACCCTTTTTCGTTAGCTAAAATGAGCAACATCTCAATGGCGAATCTTTCATTAGTCTTTACCACAATATACCTACTCCAGTCGGTGATGCCCCAGCCGGCAACAATGGTCTTCTCGCCGGGTGGGATGTCGGGGTTTAGGGACAAACATGCCGGCCTCACGTAGGCGTCAAACGTCATAATAATTAATTGATTAATTAACTAGGCAGATTTATTGAACCGAAAAATTTAGAGTTAACAATATGAATGCCTGAAGGTAACGAACATTCTGCCACATGTTTAGCACGTTTACAAGTTTTGTAGTCCAAATCCGCCTTCTTGCATCAATAGGCATAAAAAAAAGGTTTCATTTAACAAAGCTGATAAAATGGTAATAGATGAAATTATTTATTTTTCAGACGCTTATTGACTCTATGAAATAATGCATTCTATGTAACCGAGCAATTTCAACTATACGCTTTAAACGTTTACTTTAACAAACCTGTATTTGTAATATCAAAATGTTATTACTTTTACCTACATTCAAATTTAAGAGAAAAGAAAATAACACAAAAAATCTGCTATCAGCATCTTGAATACCTTCGGGTTTTGTAGCTAGTATGTAATTGTACGTAACAAATTTCATTCGATGAAAAAAAAAAAAAAAAAAAAAATTAAATTTACTTAAATCTTGATTTGCGTAAATTGCGTGATATTCGATTTTGTTTGTTTATAGTTAATAGAAACGCGTTACCTTCAGACTGTGCAATTACCAAATTTCGGTCCACCGTAGCTAACACTAGTAAAACAACACACCACCACATAGTCTTTTACTTTTAATAAAAAACAAAAATAACACAATATCGAACTTGTGAAATGGCCCGTCGATACGAGCAACGAGCACTCGGCGTCGCCAAAATTGTGACAGTTCTTGTAGCAGATTCGTACCTGGTTTTTCAAGAATCCTGCCTCCCCCTTCCGTTTGACTTTTATTTTTTTCAATCAAGTTAGAAGTCATTCCTAGTTATGAGAGCTTTTGTACTGGATGAGTGTTCTATACCTATGTAGTGTGTAAATAAGTGCATCTTTAGCAAATAAAAATTTGATAAGTCTGCGTGAACTCGCAAAATGCATTTAAGGTAGAATTCTTAAGAAACGAATGTTTTTTTTCTTCTTTTTTTCTTTTTTACTCGTTTACATATACAAATGCAAATGAAAGTGAACTTGGTGGAAAAACGTCGCCGAATCTAAAATTTTGATGAATCAATGGCAAAGAAATAACCCAAAAACTGCTGGAAAAGAGGTGACGTCAACCGACAATTTACATCTACTGATTTTTCACTGTGATAGAATACACACAGCCCACGCGTACAATAACACCATTTTTTTGACACTTTTTGTCCGACAGCAAATACATGGACACCTCCGCCACCCCGAAAATATTATCCTACTCTATTTACACCTTTACTGCCTTGAAACCCCCACAACAATCGCTACATGACAGTTATGATAATGTGGCAAACTAGGAAAACGGAGGAAAGGAGATCAGCAACGATTATTGATTATTATGACAAATTTATATTGTTCATCTATTCTTGAAAATGATTTTAATTTGACACGTGTCACTAGAAACTTTGATCAATAACTGCATTAGTATTTTTTTCGAAAAAACGATCCTTCCCTCTCACTACTGGCCTTTTTTTATTGTTATTTGAAGAAAAATAAGACTACTGTTGTACGTAGCTATTCCTAGAAGAAGTCAGATTAAAATTGAAAATACGCGTAATTAAAAAATCAACTATCAACTCAAAATGTCCACAATTCTTTCTCTGACAGTATATACTTACTTTGTTTCACTTTATCTTTATTTTCAAATTCTAATTAACCAGTACTGGATAAAACGAAATCAAATAAAAGCCGATTCTTTAACTAATGATTAGATTTAAATAGTTTGAAAACAGTTCAAAAATATTTGTCTCATGTAGACTTTTCATACTTCCAATAGTATTTTTCAAAAAAAATGTTTTTCTGTTTTCGGACCATTTAAGGGATGACTTTTCATGGAATAGTTCATACAAGTATAACATTCGACTTCCATCACACACCAATGGCCAAGTGACCCAGCGACTTTCGATTTATTTTTTCTTTGCAGAGACGGTGCCTGAATGTATACATCAGAGCTGACGTTGGTGCTCACATGTTATCTTTAGGGGCATTGTACAGGGGGTACATCATACAAAACAACAAATATAGTTTTTATTCCTTTTTGGGTGACACTTGGCTCGTGATGGTGGATATAAATTCGAGGTCTTCGAAGATGGCCTAAATGACAACAAGTAAACAATTTTTTGAAAAAAAGTTAACAAAACATAAAATTCGACAAAAATAATTCCTGCTACAAAACCGTTGGGCCACGAATTGTATTAGTGGTCAAAAATGCCAGTGTTCTGATTCATAACTTTCTTTTTTTTTTTTATCGTGAGAAATATCAATAAGTTACCGTTCCAAAGGAGTACAAGTACTAATTGTAATGAAACCATTAGCAATTCCGATAGGTTTTTTGTTGCTGTAACATGGTTTAACCTTATCTTTTCTCAACATATTTTTATCATGATTAAAGGAGTCAAATCAATTAATGTTGTATAAAATGCTATTTTCATCTCAAATATGGGCTTTCAGAAACGGACGATAAAAAATATCATTGAATTTGGAATTTGCAATGCCAATAAATGTTAAAGACAACTTCGTCAATATTTTTTACTGTTTCTAGTCTATAATAGTATATACACAGCATAGTACATAATAATTCTACCACTAACAAGTTTTGATAATAAAACGACTTTAATTTTCTCTACAAATTTTTCCCTATAGTTTTAAGGTTCAAGGCCACACAGTGTCCTCGATCCAGTCCAAGTAGTGGTATACTTTCGTGTACACGCCAGGAATGACACTCCCACAAAATTTTCCAAAGGAAGTGATGCCCACGATGTCGTACATGTCACTTTGAGATTCACTCCTGACCATCAGTGGACCACCGCTGTCACCCTGAAGGTGCAAAACGAGGAAACGCATTAACTTCAGCACTTCAGAATCAAAATAAATGTTTGAATATATCTTTTTACGCACCTGGCAAGTGTCTTTTCCATCTTCCCCGGCACACAGTTGCGACTCGGCGTTGAGACCCAAGGGGAGTTTGTTTCCCTCGTTTGCGAAAAACTTCTTGCACGTATCGTAATCAACTATGGGTACGTTGACTAACATTAGGCTGGATGATCCCTTATCGTTGGCTAAAAAATTAGGTTTTCTTAACAATGATTCTCTACTTTGTTTCTGCCATAATACCCACACCAGTCGGTGATGCCCCAGCCGGCAACAATGGTCTTCTCGCCGGGTGGGATGTTGGGATTTAGGGACAGACAGGCCGGCCTCACGTAGGCGTCAAACGTCACTGGCCTGTCCATCTTGAGAAGGGCGATGTCGTTGTACTGCGCCGGTTTTTTGTAATCGGGATGCTTGACGCGTTCAATGACGTAGCGGTCCTGGGGTCTTGCGTCGTCTATGTCGCTATTCAAGTCGAGGTCACCCACGCGAACGTACTTGGCGTATCCCCTGGACCAAATAAAAAGTAGCTCAGTTGCTTTTTTAAACAGCCTGTCTTGTAGACTGCACTTGATAACTTGGTAGCTACGTTTGACGTAATTTTTACGTAAGGATATTTCATCAAATTTTGAATCTTTGTCTCTCACCTGTATTAGGAATCGTAAGACAAGTGTGTTCAAATTAAATGAATTGGGTCCAACCCATACCAATGATCGAATCACATATTATATACATATATACGTAAATATAATTATGTTGTATTTGTCTTTGACCGAGTTAGAATTTAACAAATGTGACATTTGTTATCCTCTGGACTGTCATCCGTAAAAAATAACATCTAGTTTGAAAACCTAATTTTCTTATCTTATATGTTTGTTCTTGTAAACAGGAAAACAGAAAATTATTTGCAATGCGTTACTGATATAAAAATTGTAAATACACACGACTATATTTACAAATAGACTAGTGTAAGTTGACAAACGATTACGTACTTTTTATTTACAGTCCAATAAAATACTTAAATCTATTGTAATTAAGAACTGGTGGTACGTATAGACCTACTGAGATAGTGATATGCTACCATAATCACAGAAAAACACATGGTCCATAAGTAGAAAAATAATTTAATAATATTATGAATGATCAAGTGCTCACCACAAGAACGAGTAGGTGCAGTGCGCGGCAGTGAGGACCCACGAGTGAGATATGAGGCCGCCGCCACAATTCCAAGCGATCGAACTGGAATTGGTGCTGTAACCAATAGCCGCCATGTGTAGGAGCTCTTTGGGCCTGGCCGTGTTGCCACCAATTATGGCTGGAGGTTCCGGGTAGTCAGATTCCGAGACGATTACTGAATCAATCGGGGAGTGCATCATCGATGTCGTCGCGTACTCCTGACACTCTATGGACAATTTTTTTTTTTTTTTTGTCAAACTTGGAACTGAATCATCGATAATAGTTAGTTATTTCAATGTAGTATGATCCTTTTTTAACAAAATTAAATAATTTTGTATCGTTGTTCAGCATCTTTAATGATGTTTCATACTGCAGATATTGTGAGTCAAAGTTTTTTGGTTGGCCACGCGCTTCAATATTACGGTGTCAATTAGAAATTTTATAAAAATTGCACATACAATTTTATTGTTTTGAATGTATCATCCTGTTAATTATAATTTTTCATTATTTTTGTTTTCCATTTGACCAATTGAGCTCTTTTACCAATAATTGTTACATATGGTATTGCGACGTTGCACCAATCTGATTAACAATGTCGTTTGTGTTTTAGTTTTAAGTGACATAACTTTGACAGCATAAAACTCTTTTTTGTCGAAGACTGAGTAGTTACTGGACGCGGAAAATGACTTCTGAAAAAAAAAAAAAAACTTACTCTGCTGGGCACGTCTGATACTCGGCTTGGGTGTGATGGGGCTAGTTGTGGTACCGTCACTGTTGAGACAGCAGACTATTGGGATCAACTTGTCGAAGCCGCATACCACCTCGGGCCGCTTACCGGCTTTCAGGTCGTCCAAGGCTGGACCGCACTTTGTCAGCAGCTGACACGTGCCCCGCTGGTTCCTCAGGGAGCACGCAGAACCTGTCGATGTTCAAGAAATGGAAATGGAAAAGTCAGTGGTGTGGTGATGTGTTTGTTAACGAATTTTTTTTTTTTTCACGATCTTTTACAAAATTGTCAAAAGAGTAACAATCCGTGAAATATACATATATAATGTTGTGTTTGAAGTCGTTTTTTCTGGGTGTTGGGAACGAAGTTTGATGAAGTTGGTTGTTGGTCCTGTTTTAAAAAACTTTTTTGAAATGAATTTTTTTTTACTTACTTACCCATTTATATTGCAAATGTTAATTGAAAATAATACGTAATTATTACAAGTAAGATAAGGTATGCAATAGACGTTCGAAAAGATTTAATTAGCAAAATGATTTACGGAAACGTCGTATGCAAATGTGCAAGGCAAATAGTGAAACAAAAATAGTTACAAGCGATAATACAAATTGCCACAAAAATAGTGTTGCGCAAAGCGCATTTTACATAATCAATGTTTTGAAAATCATATCATTCTAGCATTATTTTAAATTTCAGAGCATCAGTCACCATTTTTTCGAGGTAATATAAAAATAATACTCAAATTCCAGGTTCTAATGATTTTTAACTATGTTTAGCTCATTTGAATTGAAGCAATGATTGTAATTAAGTAAGGTGATAAAAATATGATAAAGCGTATAACTATACAATCTGTTTTTCCTGGTGATAAATCAATCAGATAAAAAACTGTGTTTACTTAAAGTTAGAACGAAATAAAATGTTACAACATAATTTTATTGAATTTGATTCGTTCTTTATTTATTTATCAATTTCTTTATATCATTAAAGTTAAACTACGAATTAACTGAAAGTAACATTTGATTAAAATGAAAATAGAATTATGTAGATATTATAATTATAACGTACGCTTGCCAATATTAAAAGAGATAGAAAAATGACAAAATTTCGTTTTCTTGTGATAATGTGTTATATGAACTGAATCCCAAACTACAGAAACTTTCATAAACGAATATAAAAATAGTTTAATGGGATCGAGAAAATTGCGTCTAACATAAATACTTTTATAAAATATTGATTTATTTACTTTTGAATTAATGCACTCTAAAATATTTGATAAACGGTATTTGACAGATATTGAGATATAATTAAAAAAAAAAGAGCTTATCATTACTGTCATTAGTTTCCTCAAACTTTATGACTTGTAATTGAGTACACATTATAACGATGTTTTAAATATTTCAAGGAAATAATGTCATTCAATTCGTTGTTTAATCTTACGTAGAAATATTGATATTTACATGTTTTTTTTTAATTTTTTTATTTCCATATACTTTACCTTTAGACTGTGCATTTACCAAACTTCGGTCCAACGTCGCTAACACCAGTAAAATGACGCACCACCTCATGATTCTTTACTTTTAATAAAAAAACAAAAAATAATAGATTCTCCCACTTAGAAACTCGCCCGTCGATATGGGTAATGACTACTCCACGCTGTCAAAATCTCGACTGTTCTTATTTTAGTCTCAGCACCTGGTTTTTCCCCTTCCGTAGAGCTTTTGCATTTTATGCGTTTTTTATCAGTGTAGGCTGTAAAGACAAGTAATTACTTGCGTCAAATGAATGATTCATTAACGAATATTTTTTATAAAAGACTTTTGACGAATTAATATTCATTAACTGAAAAAACGCATTTTTTAACTAACAAATACATTTTTTCTTGTTATCAGTATATGTGAAAACTCGTAATTTATAAATATTTACTCTATAAAAATAGTTGATAAATAGTTGTTTCTAATTTTACACATTCAGTCAGGCACTGGAACTCTGATCTATCCGTCTGGTTTGTCAATAAATCTTATTGTCGTCACGTTACTCATATACGCTACCACAGGTTGTGACTGTTTAGTTTCACTAACGATATAAATAAAACTCGTTTCGTTAATGAAAAATGGACATAGGCTCGTAATGGAATTGGGGTCAATTCACAAGTACTGCGACATTTTGAGGCGTAAAATCCCAGTTCTTAATTCCAACGATTAGAATTTTTAAAACAAGCTTAGAGACTTTCATAGGCCTGGATTGCCATTTTTTTAAAACCCTCGTTAATTAAAATAAAATTTTGAAAAAGAGACTTATTATCAATGGTACTTTATTGGAAATTCTGAAGCCCCAAATGGGATCTATGCAATGGAATGTAGTTTGGCACATTTGTTTATCAGACGGTTTCTTCCATTATTTCTTCCACAAGTGCTGGACAAAGTGAAATAAAATAAAAGCCGATTCTTTAATTAATGATTAGATTTAAATAGTTTGAAAACAGTTCAAAAATATTTGTCTCATGTAGACTTTTTACACTTCAAGTAATGTTTTTCAAAAAAATGTTTTTCTGTTTTCGGACCATTTAAGGGATGACTTTTCATGGAATAGTTCATACAAGTATAACATTCGACTTCCATCACACACCAATGGCCAAGTGACCCAGCGACTTTCGATTTATTTTTTCTTTGCAGAGACGGTGCCTGAATGTATACATCAGAGCTGACGTTGGTGCTCACATGTTATCTTTAAGGGCATTGCACAGGGGGTACATCATACAAAACAACAAATATAGTTTTTATTCCTTTTTGGGTGACACTTGGCTCGTGATGGTGAATATATATTCGAGGTCTTCGAAGATGGCCTAAATGACAACAAGTAAACAATTAACAAAACTCAAAAACTACAATAATTTCATACTTTTTGAGCTTATACATTCGTTTGGTATCAACTGTTCCGATTTCGACAATTTAAATTCGACAAAAATGTAGTACTTCAATAGCGTTGAGCCGCGAATTCCAGGAGTGAGCAAATGTGCCAGTGGTTCAGTTTGTATCTTTCTATTTTCGCATCGCGCTAAAAATATCAACAACTGAAGTGCTCAGTGACGCATGAAAACAAATAAAGATTCCAACGCCCGTAACGATCCTACAGGTTTTTTCGCTGCTGAAATACAATCGTTCAAAATGTTACCTCACCATTGTGGTATCTTTCACCGTGGGTTTGAAAAAAAAAAAAAAAAGATTTAAGAGTAGCAAACCCCCAAAAAACTTAATTTAATTGCACACCCACATTTATAAACTCGAGCGATGACAAACTCTCGGCGTTTTTACGTAAACGATACGTCAAGTTGTACAAACGTAATCTCCCCTCGTCATGCATCCACCCTACGTGCAAAATTTTCCGTTCCGTAAAAGAAAAGCGCACATCGCTGATGCCGGAGAGTCACTGTAGGATATATTTAGTACTACTATATCGCGTTAAAAAAAAAAAAAAAAAACAATAACGCTCCTCTCGCACCAACGAATGCTACGATCGATCATATTAATATACATATATATTCTCATCTGCAACTTTTGAATGATGCACTGGTTAAAGTGACGTGCGGGTATTATTATTACGCGGTTGATGCATGGCTACCGGTACTATTCCTCAATGGAATCCTCCCGTTCTTTATCTCATGCAACTAATCGAGAATTTTTTTCATTGGAGTCTCAGTGCCTTGGACAATTAATTTCGTATACGATGCGCGTTTGGCGTTTATCGCATCCAACATGTGTGTACATATCTATTATGTTTAAATACAATCGGCCAACGTAACGGTTTGTCTCATTTGTGGAGAGTCAGGCGTTCTCTTTTGCAACTTTTTTATTTCAAAGGGATACCCGTCGCGGTTAATGTTGGCGCCGAAGCTATGCGCAACATAAGTTTTTATGTTTCGTCGTGTGATCCCAACGCCTATATGATGTAAGTAATTATTTTGGGAAAATAAAGTGAAAAAAAAAAAAAAACACTTTTTGGGAATCGAAATTATAACTTAGCTGTCCTTGATTTTTAGGTCGCTGGAAAACAAATTGACGCATCTTTATCGAATTGATCTGTCTATTTGGCGCGACGCGTCTTTTTTTCGTTTAAATTTCACAATTTTATTGAATCTTTCCCTTCCCCCGTGACACAGTATCACTCGTATCATCAGTCCTCGTAGCAGTCGCGCAAAAACATCATCAGACGTTCACGTGAATTTCAATGGTGACGAGAACATGGTGCACGTGACGGCCATATCTGCCGGCTCGATTTAGCTGTCACACTTGGCTGAAACAAAATTTTTTTTCTTCCCCCTTTGATAAATTCCTTGTACAATTCCTTCCCGTCGTTTCTCAGATACTCGACTACAAGAATATTTCACTGTTCTCGTTAATTGTGCAAAAATTTGGAGTATCGCCTCGTGCACTGTCATTGTTTCAACGAGTGACATTACATAAGTTGGATTGGCCGTCTGTATCAAAGTTCATGATGTAAGGGGCAAACGTATAATGTTGCCGTACGAAGACGCACGCATTGAAAATCGATGATTAATTATCCATGATTGCTCGATTGTAAAAAAAAAAAAAATTTTATATTTACATACATGGAGATATTATCTATTTCCATAAGAGCAAAAACTGTTATTAATACAAATCTACATATTATTACTTGCAAATGCATGTATGTACATGTTTTTTTATTTGCATGAGAGAACCTGATTGCTTTACATTGTAATATTGGGTTGCCAATAAAAAATTTCCACCACGTTTATTACACCGGAAAAATCATAAGTTTTTTTATACTTGACTTTTAACGAGACAAAGTTGTAGAGTGTGATACCATAAATATTTCGCCAGGTGTTAAATAGAAGCTGTAAATCGTTACGACATTGAAATAAGGAATCATCATTTAACTGTAACCGGTCGAATGCAACATTTGTGCATTTATTTTAATAACTAATGATAATTGATCCGTAAAAAACTTCTGTCGTAACGATTACCACTATTTCACAAAACTTTTTGTAACTACTAATTTGGATTTCATTATTTTAAGTAGTGTTATTACACTATTATTAAGCTTTTGTTTACTTTATGATTTAAAAATATTCCATAACTCAATTGTCGGGTTAAAATTTATATTCTCGATATTGATTTCGAAATAAACTATTTTAATCATCAGTAGGTTTTGTCGAAATTTATTCATTATTGTCAACACCCTTTTATTAGCTTCACTTGCAACTAACTATGTATGTAAGAAAATCTTGGAATCTTAATTTGACCCACTTCCCGGTCTTCGATTAGGATGAAATTTTGCACACGCTCTGAGTTCTGATGACAATACATGACTAGCTAAGAAATGTCATTACAAATCCAATATGGCGGCCTCCCCAAGATGTCGGATTGGCTGTTTGAAATCCACCCCCATAATATGGGTATCAAATGAAAGGGTTTGCTGTCAGGAGTACGAAAAAAATAATCACGTGACCTAAATCCAACATGGCGGCCGTCCCAAGGTGGTGGATTGAGTATTTGAAATGCAGTCCTATGGTTTAGGTATAAAATGTAAGGGTTTGCTGAAAATAATGCGAAATGACATTTTCTTACCAAATTATCATGTCATGGGTGTCCATCAATAAGGTTCGACGAGAGTAATACAAAGATTTTGGACTTTGAGTCTATGGGATCCCACCTAAGCCAAGGTTGGATACGCGCCGAGGGCTGAATGGTATGAGAGTGGTAAAAAAATATCATGTCGCTATAGCGTCACCTTAGGGCACCGGGCGCAACCCTATTGTAATTAGCCTTGCCCCCCTACATGGACCTGTGGGGGGTCAACCGTCTATAAGACTAAAAAGTATAAAATAAAAATAATAGTTTAAAAAACTAAAAAATACGCTATTAGTACGCACTAAAAATTACAAAATAATTCGGACATTTAGTTTGATGACTCCAGAGTTTTCCCTTTGCCAAATCTTCATTAGATCGCAGGTAAACATAAATAATTTCAGTTCGTGATGAACGATAAATCATTACCTATGCGAAATGGTTGTAAGTAGGTAATCATCTTTATTACATATTTACTATGATTTATTATGAAAGAAAGCTTTGAGCGTTTTGTCCAAAAAAAGTAAAGATTACATAAACGCTAATGATTTATCGTTCATCAAGAACTGAAATTGTTTATGTTTACCTGCGATCTAATGAAGATTTGGCAAAGGAAAAATTCTTGAGTCATCAAACTAAATATCTGAATTAATTTGTAATTTTTAGTGCGTGCTAAAAGCGTGTTTTTTAGTTTTTTTAAACTATTGTTTTCATTTATAATAACATGCGTATCTTAACAACCCCTTAACAGAATCTTGTCGACCGATACTTTCATCGTACTTTTGATCATATTTTTATTTTGAATACATTATGGATAAGTGAAACAATCGTGAATTAAGAATAATTAATTCAATTAATCATTATTAACTAACTAAATTGGCACCAATTTAAAATAAAAAGACTAAACACATTTAAATGCCTAAAAAAAAGTGTTTTTATTATGACTGCAAGATATCACATTAAAAAATATAAATATTTGACTATTTTTTTAAGCTGATAAATTAAAATAAATTAATGAAACATATGAAAAATCATGATGGATTCATAAAACTCTTCATGTTAAATTTTCCTGTATAAACTCATGCCCAAATTTTTCAAAACGATTTTAAATAACGAAAGTTTCTTAATTTGTAACATAGAAATAAATTTAAATTTAATTATTACCCATGTATTATTTTAAAAGTGTAAAATGCATTTAAAAATTAAAATTAATTTTTTTTTTTTTTTCAATAACTTAGAAACTGATGATATCAAATTAATTACCGACTTTTGTGGAAAATTCTATGCATTTTAGCGAACTTGAGTTATTGTTCTTTTGTTTGTCACTCACCGCTCAACTCAATATAGGCTTAGTATCAGCTTTGTACGGATTTATCTCATCTCTCCGGATAAACCAATTAAATTGTCGTCGATCACGTTCTCGCCAAACGCTGGGAATATTTCGGGAAATCTGTAGTACAAGAAGACGAGTGGCGCCTTAGAGACGATTATGCCACATAGATTACACTATCATCATTCTCTTGCCTTCTTCATTCAATCTTTTTTTTTTTTTTTTCCAACCCAACCTTTCGTATGTCAACATTACGATAGCTTCTGTTATGTCTCGATAGCAATTTTTTTATTATTTCTCTCAATAGAATTCAGATTTTACGGTTTTGCTCGAGCATATATATTTTTCGATTGAATCAGAAATATCGTTTCGACTAGACGAGATAATAAGTACAGTTTCGTTCGATATTGTAAGTATACTCTTAAGAAAATAATATTCGATAAATAAAATAGTTTGTTTGAAAAAAGATATCGATTCACGAACTTTTTCGATTTAAGGGATTAGTGCCACAATGTGTGGTTAATGTGTGTTCTGAAATACATTATGTGTTCCGAAACAGACAAGTGAAAATATGCAACGCCGCATGAGGCGAAAACCCTTTGAAATATGATGTTAAAAACATACCATTTTACATAATTCTTCAATTTCAGCAAAGTCTGAAATTTTTTTTAATCGCAATCTGTAAAATACTCTTTTTCCGATAAGAGTACGTGTTAAATAGATAATTTATTTCTCGAAAACGGTGAAGCTAGGGTGTCTGAAATTTCAATATGTTATTATACATATAATTGTTAGTTTATACACATTTTTTCAAGGCGTTCCTAAATTTTTGGATTTTGTGACACTACCCCCTTAATTTCAATTACCAAGAAACTCTTATCCACAAAGGTATACATGAGTCATTCGACGAATAATCGAATTTTCCATATCTCAGTTAATTGAAATATCACTTTTAGAGATTGGTTTATCAAAAGCTATTGTTGTTGTTTTTGAAAAAATTTTCTCTCACATTTTGTATGGTACGAAAATTGACTGTATTGCAGAAATTTTTGCAAATTTTTCCATAATGATAAGCCAGTGCTACAGGCTCGCGAATTCGTAAATTCGCAATTTAGAACGTTAAGATACAGCTGTTACAATGCATATGATATGTAAGCGCAAGGGTAAAGTTTAATTTCAATGTGGTGTAACGGTAGGTACCTATCAAAGTAAAAAACAATAGACCCCAAAAAAAAATCAGAACAATTAAAAACCCCCTTTTTAGTCTTTGAAATATCCCAATTTTCGTAGAATGACCCATGTATGTACCAATACAAATCAGGTTGTCTCCGCCACAAGCGATGCAGCTTCATCCATACATTCTCGCGGTCTAAACTTAGAACCAGGAAGTCAGCGTATAGTATAAACGACCACTTATACCCACCGCTTTCCCTCAAGTAATTATCAAACACACGCTTTAATTGGCATCCCCGAATCTTTTTATCCTCAAAAACGTCCGACGCACATTTATGTCATTATCGCAAAACCCCTTGACAGCTATGCGCTCTCGATATTTCGAGAAACTCCGCGCGACTACCATTGATCAAAAGCCATATCCGTATATGCACGTAACGCCATCGATCCAAGGTGCAGTACATATACGCTTTTATCTTTAGACGGTTTAATCGTTGCAGCTTCTTCTTTCCCTTTTCGCTCGCAGTTGCTTCTCCAGCTGGAAATGTATAGAGCGAGGAATAGGAGCGACAATAATCGTAAATACGTGAGCGGTTGATCGGTAACTCGGGACTCTCGAACGAGAGGAGCAAAAAATCGGTCGCTTTCTCGCGTTTCGGCGTGTGTTCCTTCTCTCTCTCTCTCTCGTTGAGATGGTTTTATTGGAAAGTTGATTATGCCACCGAGCGGCGGAGCAATTAAAAAAAAAGCCGGGCACCGCGTCGATTTATGGCTGCATACCGATTTTTACAATATTTTGAATAAAGTGCAGCAAAATACCTGTTTGGCTCAATCAGTTAATTTATATTCCGTGTGCGTGTACAACCGGTGCCTTATAACATGATGTATTCATCGAAATGAGTGCAGCTCGTGTGAATATCAATGACACGCATGTAAACGTGCCGATTAAAATTCCATCTCTTTTATCTATGATTATTAATAAAAAAAGGGGACGTGTGATCAGATAAGGTTTAACCTTCCTGTTTTTCTTCTTCCTCGTCATTTTTGCATTGCAATTACAGCTCATGGCGAGTGATTTTACGTCCGAGACGGCTTTCTCCGGGGGCTTGTTAGCGCGCGTACATGTCAAGTTCACTACCCTCGAAAGTATCGTCTGACACGTCCGATCGAGAGAAAATTCGAGCACCGGTTGTATGGGCGCATCTCCCATTCTTGCTTGCAATGGATTTTTATTCTAATTGTGAGTGCGTTTCCCTGCGTGTATATTGATTTGTAATATATGAAAAAAGGAAACGGAGAATAAGGAGGGAAGGAAAAATGGTGACTTTTATTCAAAGAATACTTGAATCTGATTCATTTTATTTTTTTTTATTTTTTTTTTTCATTTCCGACTACAATGTTTTTTTTTACATGTGTTTGCGTGATAATATACATCGAAATACATTGCTTCGTTAATTACAAGCTGAAGCTAAGATGATCCATATTCTTCTGTTTTTCAGATTTTAATATAATAATAACATAGTATAGTATCTACAAAAATTCTTATCGGTTAGTAAATATAATTACACAGTAAATTACACTCAGTGGCCACGTATACGTTAAAAGTCCAAAGTATAGTAATAGCTAGTAATGTATGGCAATAATAACAACAATAACATTAATTAAAATTACATTTATCATATGATTCGTAGCGATTGAAGGGGATAAAATGTATGTATCAAGTGAGAGAAGAAAGGGAAGAGAACAAAAGATCGAAGCGACAATTTTTTTTTTTTTTTTCTTCAACTATACAATATTATATGGGGTGATGATTAAAAAGTAAAAATCAGTTTTCCTCCTTCGTTAAAATCTATACGCGTATCGCAATAAAAGTGAAGCTCTTCGTGTTCAACTTTTCAATTTGTCTTTTTTTTTTTTAACCATGTGGCGGTGTTTTATTTAAAGATTTTATGTCAGATTTTTCCACGTGCTCTCGCACACTCTTCGTTTATTCGTCGACACTTCATCAGTTCATCAGGTACAAGTATACTCTCACATACGCTTTTACACAGTCATACAACTAGATATTAGTCAGTAATATTGTAGTTTTTTATAAAATGTTTTTTTTTTTTTTTTTTTTTTATGTGAACCATGTATTGGCACGCTTGGNGCGAACCGTACACCGGGGGGCTGTGGCCCAACAGAAGCTCCGCTGGTATTGCTATGGAACACATCTAGATCTGAAATACAACCACCAACCACCCACGCAACAAACTGTTAATCATCATTAGTATTCACACCGTATAATATATTTATGCTCTTATTTCTATGGTTGACGAGAGGAAACAGACGAAAAAAAGAAAGAAAAAAAAAAAAAAAAACGTTTTGTATCTCTCTCGCTCATTTGGCACTTTTGCGTTGGGTTCTTGGACGAAGAAGATGAGCATCGACGCCTATAAACCAACCAATTATGTACGCGTTATGACAATCTGTCTTTGATCCTTCCTTATCACGCTTATCAGAGACAACAATAATAAACAAGAGTAAAAGAAAAAAGAACAAAATTCCATCATCTTCAACAAAAGTAATAAATATGTATATTATATAAGTACGTAAAATTACCCGGGGACAGAAAGATCATGTAATCTCATGGAGAAAATCCACCAAAAGAAAAACTCAAATTAAAAAAAAAAAAAGACAAACTTTTTTGATCGCGGACCCGATACGAGGTAATTTTATTTTCATTCGGCGGAGTATAAAATCTACCAAGGGAGGACACGAAGTTCGTATCTGCAAGTTTTGGGGTGTCAGTTCGGCGAGCTTGGCTCGATCACATTTCATTACCATTACTCATTTTCTCGTTTCAAAGGAAGGACGCGATCGGAAAAATCGATCAATTATCATCAGTCTTGCTTTTACGCATTTCTACATATATATATAAATAAATATACGTACATCGTATTGTACGTGGGCATGTACACTGTTACGGACGGTATGCCTGTGCGAATCGGAACTCGAGTGTACTTATACACATCGTTTTAACAAACGCGAAACGAGAGCTATCCCCTTCGTGGCCTTTCCCTTTACAGTAAAAAATAATTTTCTTTTTTTTCTCCATCCATCACAAATAACTTAACAATGTGAACATACGGTGTTATTTATTGAAATTCTTTTTTTCTTTTTTTCTTTTTTTTTATGTTCAACAAACTTTGCGCGTATACATAACAAATCGGGCGTCTTCTCGATTTATACATACATGTACGTCTAAGATACAAGAAGCAAACTTTTGCCTATTATTTAAAATATACACAATTATCACTACTATAAACGTCCCACGCGCTCGTCTTCGTCAACCGTAAAACCCATTACCGTAATGTCATACTATACACTACTACTGTTTATCGAATTGTTTGTTTAAAAAATCGCGAGGCTTCCATCGTCACTGGATCTTCATTTTCTCTCCCTCTGTCTCTTCAGTCTACACTATACATAATATATTAGGATTCGTTACTTCTTGACACATGTTTATAGGAACCAGAAAATTGGTGGTGATGTCGGACGAAGATGCAACACTTGATTTTGCGTCATTGAACCTGTTGTGACAAAAAAAAAAGAATAGTAATAAATAAATAAATTAAAAAAAAGTAAATCGTGCCTTTGAGCAAGCTTTTCTATTAGCGATTATTAAGGGAAAATCGGACTTTTTGCTTAGTTTTAGATAATCAGTATATCAACATGCTGTTCACAATTTCGTCGCACGAAAGATAGAGAGATGAAACATCAAGGATTTAATCAAAGCGAACAAAGTACGAACGTGTAGGTTTAAACAAATTTTTCGTATCAAGGGGAAAGGAGAAAAATCACAGGCAGTATTATTGTGTGGCAACAAGTGTCGTGGCACTTGAGAATTTTTATACAATAGGGGAGGACAAAATTGTGCGTTTCATAGTGCAAAAAGTAAGGGTTAATTGTACAAAATGTTCTTTCCATTCAATACTACCGTCTGTGTTCCACGTGAGGAACCACAAGTTTACACATTTTAGCTTCAAGCATGTAAGATAAGAATTATTTTATGAATGTTTTAACACTTTGAAATCATATTTTTTTTCTTTTTTCCGGATTAAAGTACATTTTGTTTGCTAAAATATTTTTTTATTCATCACTATTCACAATAAAACATTGGAAAAAAATTTTTTTCATCATAGCAGATAAGTACAATTATCATTTACGTATTGTGATTAATACTTTTTCAAATGATTTTACTGTATTTTTTTTTTTTTTTTTCTCTTCAATCTTATAAAAATACTGCAATATACTTTTAACGGAAAATTGCCCAAGTCCGTTCATATAAACGATACATCTTGAAACGAATTGTCAAACATGAATTTGTCGAAGATCAGCTCAAAATATAAACGTATATGAACATGATCACGCGATGCAATAAAAAACAACACGGCCATCCCGTAACACGCTACTGATGCGCGATAATCAAACAAAGAAAAACAAAATACTCCAAAACCCCGTAAGATTTGAGGGGGCGCGGGAGAGTCGACGGGGGGTAGGGTGAAAAAAAACGCACTGACCGAACAATAGAAGTTAATCCACGGAGGCGAGGAGTGTCCTTGTATCCTCCGTCATCATCACCAGCATTACCATTATCATCGTGGTCATCGCATCAGATCAGCCACCCAGCAGCAGAATCATGTACACGACGAGTGAACGGCTCGACCTCTTTCTTCCATTATTTTTCCTCTCTCTCGCGTCCGCATGCTCACACGTGCGATATTCGCACAGGAGGAGGAGGAGGAGGGCTCACAGATCGGTGGGACTGTGCAAATTGGGTGGTAAAACATTGGGAGGGGGAGGGACGATGCGAAGACGAAGATGAGACAAAGAGTCGATGGATCGCGGGAAAAAAGGGGGATGCGGGGGACGAGTTGGATTATTGGAGCCCTCACCCGTGCGAGTTACCAGTAGGGCCCGTCAGTTCCCAGGTGCTGCCAGGACGCGAACTCGCTCCAAGTGCGCAGGTTGACTCGCGTCGCCTCGCCGGCCGGCCGGTCATTCCTGTTGATGTTGATTTGGCGCGCTTTGCCGAAGCTGCTGTGGCACGAGCTCGGGCCGCAGCAGGCGTTCAGCAGCTCGGCTACCTGCTCCTCGAGGCTCGCTCGTGCCTGATGACGCAGGGCGCGACGATGTTGATGGGGTTCCCCGTGAGATGGTTGACGAGAGGAAACAGACGAAAAAAAGAAAGAAAAAAAAAAAAAAAACGTTTTGTATCTCTCTCGCTCATTTGGCACTTTTGCGTTGGGTTCTTGGACGAAGAAGATGAGCATCGACGCCCCGCCGTTGGGTACACAATTGTTACGGGTTATATATAAAGAGGGTTTTTGGATTCCTATAGGTTAGGTATTCTTGTACACACGGATACATGTATACCCATCACCGGTTGGGTGCGCTCGTGTGCCAATAATTTTTTTTTTTTTTCTCGTTTAACGTATACCTATTTGTCGCCAAAGCGTCATATTATATCGTTTTGTCAGTCGTTGTACGCGTGTCTTTCGGTGTATCATATATAAATATGCGCCCATATATACCCACAGGATATAGCTATCGACTAATTCAACACAAGGTAATTATGTATTCATATAAACTATATATCACATGACAATAAACGTAAACTGCACGCGTCACCTCGCTTTCGTAAACAATTGAGCTTTTCGTTCATCAGCGTAATAATAATAATAATAATGTAAAATCCACTGTTACAACTAATTATATGTGATTGTGCAACATCGTCTGCTGCAGTGTATAATCGTATCGTCTTTGGTACGCGTAAAACTAAAAAAAAAAAAAAAGAAAAAAAAACAACACGCGTACACGCGTGCACAACGTTGTAATATAATATTATTCCTCGCTTGTTAATCAATCAATCAATTTAAGTAGGCAAGCGGTGTAATCTACAAACATTTATTCATGACGAAAGTTACCGCATAATCATTCGTTTTTGCGTTACGTATGGTATTTTTTTTTTTTTTTTTACCAAAACAGCAGTAAAGTTCTTTCGTAACGCGTCTCTCTAACTGTTGGTCGTGTACTTTTGTAAGCCGCAACAACAAGAGAAAATTCGAGATTGGAGCAAAGCTCGTTTGTGGGGCTCCAGGAAATTTGTAACCAAAAGCATCCCCATGTATATACATTTTTACGTACGGAATATTGAAGAAAAAAAAAAAAAAAAAAAAAAGAAAAAAAAAGTTTACAAAATAATATTGATTTTTCCTATGGTCAACGTTCGATCGAGTGACCGATAAAGACGTGATTGCTGTTCAATTAAATTTATCACCCACGCGATCGATTTGTCGGGATGATAGATAAATAAATAAACAGTGTTCGGTGGAAAAACGCAATTTTTCAGTCTCACGCAATATTCCAAGACAANAAAAAAAAAAAAAAAAAAAAAAAAAACAAAAAAAAAAATCGTCGACAATCATACGACAGCAGAGCCATATGTTTATGTATGTCCCACGCAGTGTAACCCCCGTGGGTGCATTATCGAGGTGTTTATGTGGTTTTAGGGCGAGCGCGTGACTGCCGCGACGGCGGCGCCGATGTTTCTTCTCGCCAAATGGATAAAATCCCCGTGTGCGCTCACGTCGCGTTTCTTCTTGACGACGTAATTGGCCCCCGCGTTGTTGTCCCAGTGCTCCTGGCCCGCGCACCTGTAGCGCACGCAAAACTCGACCTGCCGGTGCTCCTCCGTCCTCGGCAGCGCCACCCGAAACCTAAACGTGTCGTAGAGGCTGGGCACCGCGCCACCGCGCGCCAACCCCGGCTGCTCGACGTAACTGCACCCCACGTCCACGTAACTCCGCCAATTGTCGGTTGTTACGCGCAACGTCACCTCCTTGTCGTAATCGACGTTCTTCACCTTGACCGTGCCCACGAGGCAGCCCTCCGTCTCCCGGACTATCACGTTCTCGAGGCTGACGAGGTTGGACTCGAGCTTGCCCCGGAAGGCCAGGTAATCGCTCGCCGGTTGGGGGAAGCACGCCTCCCACGGCTGGTCCCCAGCTCCCGCGTGCTCCAACGGCGTGGTACTGCTGTCGGTGCAGTCGACGGAGGAGGAGGAGGAGCCGTTTTGCGGGGTACTGGCGAGGCTGCCGTCCAGGTTGCGGAAGACGCCCCCGTGGGCGAGGCTCGCCACGTAAGCCGAGGTCCACAGCGGTGGCATGTTACTTGGCTCCGACATGACTCGCACCTGCGGGGGAACAAACACAACCACATTGGGTGCTTTTTCCTTTTTTTCTTTGCTTCTACGAGTGCGGAACAATAAAACTCGCCGATCGGTTGTTCATCCGTGCTTTTATCGCGATAAGAAAAAGGACGCGCCGATGCTTCGACCATACTCCGGGTGTTCTCGATATTTCAACAATGACGCGATCACCAAAGCGAGCTGGAAGCGAGCTTGTTTCGCTGAACCGTTGACGCGATTGGTGGAACAAGCGGTGATTATCATTTTTTATCTTCTCGTTCGAATGGTGTATTTTTAATTTATAAGTGCGGGGTTGCACCGAAAAAAAAGGAGCCACGTGATAATTGCAGAGGGAAAGAAAAAGAAAAAAGAAAAAAAAATGGTGCGACTTCTTTGTGAATTTAGGTACCGATGATAATTCGAGCGATACATCACTGCTTTCGACTTATCCGGGGCAATAAATATCCTCTCTCTCGCGAGCCTCCATCACGCGTGTACTTTGATGTACTTATTATTAGCGAGGAAGAGAGAAAAAAAAAAGGTAGTTATTTATGTTTCCTCTGTGCGCGTGGAAAAAAAAACAAAAAAAAAAAAAAAAAAACCGATCCCTCGTAATACGAGCAAATGGGGACAACAGCCGCGTAAAAGAAATGTTCTTAAGTGATGGTCAAACGATCGATGGAGCCTCCGCAATTTAAACCAAACGACGTGTTTGTTCGTAAACATATACCTGTGTGAGCGGCCGGCCACGGTCGTCGGCAAAGACGACCCTCTTCTTGTTGCGCTGCTTGTTGCTGTTGTTGGCGTCATCGTTGCCGTTGTTGCTGCTGCTTCCCTTGAGGAGACCCACCAGTTGTAGGGAACCCTGCGTCAAGCAGGGCCTTATCTGCGGCGGTACCGTTCTGTTGGCTATGGGCGGCGTCGTCACCATCAGGGAGCTGTACAACAGCGAACCGTACACCGGGGGGCTGTGGCCCAACAGAAGCTCCGCTGGTATTGCTATGGAACACATCTAGATCTGAAATACAACCACCAACCACCCACGCAACAAACTGTTAATCATCATTAGTATTCACACCGTATAATATATTTATGCTCTTATTTCTATAATGTTATTTATATACGGTCCATTGTATGTTTTTTTCTCGCGTAAGGTGTGACGGGTCCCCCTGTTTTCCGAATGGAGTGGAAAAGGTCTTTCACGGTATCGGTAGATGGCACGGACGGGCTGTGACTCCGTCGTCTTATCGTTTCGGCGGGTGAAAATCGATCACGTTCGACCCAAAGGACCGGGACGACATTCAGACGCGCTCGCGTCATTGTTCTCCGGCAAAACAACGTCCCCCCCCCCCTCTCGGGGACTTATCGCCGATCTCGTTGAATAATCCACGCGCGAGGCGAAAGAAGAAGCGCTGGCTTGGAAAATTTTCAGACTAATGTGCACGGACGAGCCGATTTTTTTGAAAAAAATAGCCAAGAAGCTGCGCGATCTTCCGAACTTTCCGTCCGCGCGGACTCGAGGAAATTGATTAGAGCATCGATCGGTGGCGCCGTTGTGCTTTTTTTTTTTTATATACATATGCCGTGTAGCAATCGCTCACTTATCTCAATGAAGTTCGATAAGCGCGCGCTTTGTGATACGGTTTGTTTGACACGAGAATGTCTCGCTGGCGCGGGTATCTCGGAGGAGAAAAATAGGAATCGGCGACGGCTAAGGTGTCGAGGGTATCTTGGCGAAAAATTGAAAAATAAATACCGATATCGAAGGAAAGGGCACACATAGCGAGGAAAGTTTGGCGAGTCTTTTGACACTTGACTGACAGGCGGTGCTCTGATACAGGATTTTTTTTTTTCCTATTTACAGAAAAAAGTTGTTTTGACGATTTCGTAAATTTTCGTAAAAATTCGCACTCGCGTGTATCGACGTGTTTTGCAATCGCCATTCGCAAAAAGTCCTCGACAAGAGTCGTTACATCGTTGCGATCGTACAATTCATTGGAATTGAAGACGAAGGAAAAATTTTTTTTTTAATTATATAACGTAGAAATTGGAGTGAGAAAGGATAAAATTTATCCATCGAGCGGAGAGGTCATCGCGATGCATTTGTTTGGGACGTGAAGAACAAAAATAAAAAAAAAATAAAAAATTCGCCTCTCGATTGAAAGATACAGTGAAGATGCACGCAGACGTGAGATTTGTTTACCATCGAGACCACATCCCGGACGAGAGAAGATTTTTAATCGCCACGCTTGATATTATTATTCTAGTAATCGAGTCGTGTTTTGTAAACTTCCCGTTCGAGCTATTTGTTTTGATAATAAAGCAAAATCCAAAAGTCTCTGTAATTATGTTCGTGTATGGTCCGAATTGGCCAAAATCTTTGTAAGGGCGTCTCGCGTGTGTCTCAAAACCGTCTCGATAATCGTCGCTAAAACGAGTGGATATCAATTCTTGGTGTTTTTCTCTCTTCGTTTTGTCACGTGATAATTGTTTAATCACGGGATAAAAATGTTCATTACGAGTGTCACTTGCATTCATATAAATAATTTTCTTTTTTATACCAGAACGTAATATTATTCTGCTATGATATATGCTGATATATGATATCGAAGAAACGTCCCTCTAAATGTGAACTCGTGGAAAACCACTAGATATCGTTAGAGTTAAAATTTTATTGCTAACTAAAAAAAAAGGTTGTTCTTTTCTTCGTGATCTCGCAAAATAACAGCAAATGCTGTAGCGAAACAAGCTATTGGCTATAAACGTAAGCGCACGTGACCACGACTCCTGCTATCACATATATATTGTGTACGCTGTGCTATAACCCTACCAATAACAAATAAATGTAAATGTACACTTTTAAATGATTAAAAATAAAATTAAAGGAAAAAAAAAAAAAATATAATCGAAGGTCGTAAGCGAAGGAGATTTGTTAGGCGAGAGAAGTATAATATATATTATGTGACTACGCCGCATAGATAATGTCGCATGAAAGACAGTTCCTCTTCTTTGCGCGTATATTAATTGTATGTAATATTGATGTGATAAAAAAAAGTAAGTTTGATGCACTTTTATACGTTTACTCCCGTTGCAGAAATATCGGCTCGGCTTTTACTTTTCGTTTTTTAATAATAAAAACGTCCAATGCGCGAATCGCGATTTTTATTTTATTTTAATACACTAATGGCTATGGATGATTGTGGACAAATTTTTTACAAGACGAGGTGAACCAAAAAACGAAATGTCCCTCGTAGGCAAATTATTTTTTTTCCTACAAGATATCACGTTCGTCTATGAAAGGTACGATTGGCGTGCGCTTCCGCAAATAATTGGCAGATGATGCCGCATGAGAAAGAAAAAGGAAGATTTGGCAATCGAGTGTGTAACAAACTGCTTCTTATCGCTATACTACTCTGGCGATGTTAGATAACGAGCATCTCGTGATACTAAAATTCAATCCGGAAACAGATGTATAATATACATGCAACAACCAAAATATAAATTAACCCCCACCAGAAGAGAAAAAGAGAAAAATAAGCTATAAATTAGTGCTTATCGGTACAAATCAAAACGAGATTATACGTACGGATACACAATGTACAAATGATTTTCAACACAACATACCATTGAAAAAAAATTGACCGATAATGGTATATCGGTATCAAGTAAGTGTACTTACTTGGGCTCTTGAACCAATAAAAAAAAAAAAAAAAAAGAGAGAGAAGAAAAACGCAACCCCACGCGCGAATCACGTGATTTTGAAATTTCACGTTTCTGCAAGAGTATATATAGAAGAAGAGAGAGAATTTCAAGATAGCCCCAAGCATGTATACTATATATATATGGCAAGAGAGCCTTGCTCGATAGATAACAAGCAAAGTAATCAACGATTGCATTAATTAATATATAGAATAGCCAGTATAAATAATCCAATATTTATCATGATGATATAGATGCATGTAAACCATATTTTAAGATTGAAGGCGTATAGAAAAAAAAAAAAAAAAAAAAAAAAAAACATGCGTCTGTGTATGCGTGCATAAGTGCACGCGCCCATACGTGCCAAAAGTTTGCGCCGCGGCGGTCGTGGGCACTAATCCAATCAGCACGTGAGCTAATGCACGTATATATATACATATGTATATATTTACACGCGAAACTTGGTGTGTTATAATAAGATCATTGGAAATTTGTTTGCGCCACTTTTGTCGTATCGTGCATACATTTGTACATATACATACACACCATGACGTGTTGTTGGTAAACGTGTAAATTCCTTTGAACACGCACGTATAGGTACTATAGTTTAAGCTTGGGGTGGATGCGAAAATGCATTGTCTCGAAATGAGGATGGAAAAGCGCGCGATTCCGCGTTTAAGCAAGATCGGTAACGTTTAACCACGCGCTCGGGAACCGATTTCTCATTTCAACCCCACGGGGTTTTGCCCTCCGGTCTCCGGTGGCATATGACTCGCGAAAGGGGGAATAACAAAAAAAACAAAAAAAACAAAAAAAAAAAAAAAAAGCCTACCTTGTTGGAGTCGTCCGTTCTTGAGAGGGAAGAGAGAGAAGCTGGTGGGCAACCTCGGCTAAAACTGTCCGTCGACTGAAAGACAGAGGCTGCAGGGAGAAGGAGAAGTTAGGTACACACTCTCTCTCTCTCTCTCTCTCTTGAAAAACAATTCGGTGGCTTGCTAAATTTAACCGGCGAATGAACGAACGGGGGAGGTTGCTGCCGTTGTACCGTACAGTGACGTTCGGGAGATGAGGAAAAATAAAACGAGAGGGAGCGCGTGGATGACAGATTTTGGTCCGATATCCTTTTTTTTTTGCACTAATCGTGATATGGTTTTTCTATATCTGGTAGAAAAAAAGGAAGGGTATGAAGAGAGATGGATATATACTTGATACCGATCCTTACGCTGGTTTGGGTACGGGAGAGAGAAATTGAAACGACAATGGGTACCTATATATTTATAGAGTCTGGATTGGACAATTTGGTCCATCAGTGGTACCGTAGCGCGGTTAAACTGTTGCTTCCTCGTGCAATATTGTAGCCGAGTGACGTGACAATGGTACATGGTAAATTTAAGCTATAGGTTATTTGGGTCAAGATTTCCACTTATCGGATAGAATATGGGGGGGGGGGGAGAACATCCATCTCGTATACGGAGTTTTTGAGATTAACATTGGGGCTATATACCATAGCTTCCCCTTGAACTTTCTTGGAGGACAATTCAATCGTCGCGTCGAGGCGAAGTTTATTAAAAAATCATCACCATCACTCTCCGCGCGTGTCTGTGTATACAATGTACACAGTTGGCGTTGGACCGATGGATCTCGTTCGCGCCTCCGGACAGTTTGCGCGTTACGACGGCGCGCCTTGACTTTCTTCGTTTGACAAGTGAATGATGAGTGTATGTATTTTTTTTTTTTTTTTAATTTTTTTTCCTAAAGCATACATATGAGTGACAAGCAAATTAGATGGGTCGCTTTTTATGTTTTTGACGCTTTTAAGTGTATATCTACCCGCAGTTTCGAACGGATGCCCATCGGAAATCGGTTACATTCGATACCACTTGGTTGAAAGTCCAAAAAAAAAAAAAAAAATTATCAACTAAGATGGTCGAGTATGTATATAATATTTACGTTTCGGTCCGCTTATTTCGCCGTTACACCGACTCTTCGATCCTCTCGTTGTTGGGGGTCACCCGAAAGCACTTTGGGTCCGTGTACGCGCAGCCAGCCACGACTCCTTCACTCAAAAACCGGAGGGGGTGTCACTTTGGGGGAGAAACAAAAACTTTGGTCACTGCAAGTAGTTGTACAACGGATAAGAAAATTGATTCACGCAAAACTTCACAATAAGCGAACGATCGTTCGAGAAATCGGTATAAATGATTTCGACGGTGTGTCTCAAGTCGCGTCCGACGCGCCGAAGAGCCTTCGGTCATTTGCGCGCCGGTGAGCTCGGGATCGGGCAATCGGGCACTCGAGATCGCTATGGAAGGGGGATAC